GTTTGCTTCCCTTAACATTTGTTTGAAAAAGAAATTACATTCCTTCCGCGAATCCTTTGTCATTTCCGTCAGGTACCTGCAGTTTTTAAATGGACGTTATAAGGATTTACATATCCAGATGTAGATGCTACTCAGAGGGAAGTGATCGAAGTAGTTTGTTCGTTCATAAAAGCCCTTATGAAAAAACAGTTTTAGTAAATTATTTAGAAAATAATCCTTGATAAACTCCTTTTTTTTGTTTTCTTTTTTAAGATGGATGATTTGGTGCAAAGTGCGTTTACTTTTCTCAATCCAAGGTTGTTTGTTGAATTTATTTTTGTCAGTAAATGCATATGGTGTTTATATAATAAACAAAAAATAGATGGTTCCCTGTAGATATGGAATTTCCCGTCTCGCTTTCAACACTCACGAGTGAGTGCAGTGAACGAGAAGGGAAATTATCTACGCGCGCCCATCTATTGTGCTTCATGATTAAACGCTAAGAAGCTTATCCGCAATTAGAAGAATGCATATACCATATATACCATTTCATATACCATTTCGAGAAACTGTGTATGGCGAAAAAAATAGTCATTTTTGCGGCGCCTGTAATTTATTTGAACTACACTGTAGACGACTCATTAAAAACTGTCGAGCTAAAAAATATTTAGCGATTAATTTTAAGTATTTGGCATATCAATGAAAAATTTATATCGCATTATGTTTAATCTGTTTGTCCTTACTGTCAACTTGAATTTGTATTGTAGCTCTGAAGCCCTTGAGGTTCGAGCAAATCATTTGTATCGCATGTGCTTGACGTCCGTGAGTTATACTCACTGTGGCTTTCGCGCAAAATGGAGCCGTACAAACTTCGATAGATAAATTCCAACACGAATCGTCAGCATTTGCTGTAAGACTTTCTCGAGGCCAGAGCAAGTTACTTTTCAAACTAATTACGCGACAGGTTGATTAAAGTCCATTCTTAATTAGCGAACTAACTTTCAAAACCACAAAAAAGTGCAACATTTCTTAAGGCAAAAAGAAAAAAATGCAGTTTTCCCTGCCCGTAAAAATCTACTCGGCCCCCACTTATTTTAAAGAAGTTCCATACTCTGTAAGTGGGACCCTTTTGATTGATGCAAACATAGGAGTGTTATTGTATGTTAAGAGCTTTTGTGAATAGCTTATGCAACGGAAAGCTTAACTTTTCTTGAGGCTGGCAATATTTCCTTGTCAAAGACATCCTTTCCGTATTAGTTTTCATTAGCGATCCTTTTTTATCACACGGTGGAGTTTTCTTAGTTAAACACTGGATTACTTGAGAACTTGAAGGAAATCTTCTTAAACAACGTTTAAAAGCTACTTTAGACCGAATATGATGTTTCATAATGATAATTTGTCGACGTTACCAGCTGAAAATTACGCTTATTGCAAAATTTGAGATCGTGATGATCGTGATGACAATTGCGTAATTGTTGCCATGGTTTAGTGATGTTGTGGAGGGAACAAGGAAGTTCTTATCTAAAGTTAATCATCGTTTTGGCTTGAAACCAGGTGTTTCTATGGTAACCATAGCTACCATATTGTTATAAAAGAAAGCACTTTTACCTCAAAAGCAGTGAGGGACCAAAGAGCTTTGCATCTTGAGAGGTAAGAGTTTATCATATCGAAAACATTGATGGGTTATTTGAGTAATACATTCTCTGGAAAATTCATATTCTTTACGAAAAGGATATTTACCCGCGGCTCCTTTAATTCTACATACCAAAAGAAAAAGGTTGGCTTCACTCTCAAATAAGGATATGGTACGATTTTGAAAGCAAACTAACTCAGGGTTTTTTCAACGAAAGCAGATTATCAATACTCGGGGATTACTAACTGAACCTTTAAATGTTTATCTCTATGCAACACGAAAGCTCTGGTAAACAATATGTTGCTCTGTTTACCACAAAAATTGCCAAAAGGTCGCTGAAGTTTCAACTCCGTCCAAAATGTTTGATGTATTAGAAAGGATTACTCATCGGATATAGTTTGGAAACTTTATGTTTGAATCTTTCTTGCCCTTTTGGTTATTGGACTTAGCAGATAAATAAAGGGTTTCAACAATCATCGGGATTTTTGTTTTATATAAGATGAGGATAAGCAGCAGCTTGTAAATGTTAATTAGCCAACTTGTCAAAAATCGTATTTTTTTCTCGCTCAATAAGAATATATTATTTCTACTGAAGCTTTTGTATAGGTCGAGTCGTCGTCACTTCACATCTAAAACCAACATTTCTGAATGAACATTCGTTTTTCTATGGGCAGTTTAAGAACACCTAGTGGAGGGAGATATCCGTGCGCTAAAGAGCTTTGTATTGAAGTTAGTTATCAACTCTTTCAGACGATTTTAGGAGCGAAGTTTAATGAAAATAACACGTCTGCGCATTTTAATTCCAAACACTGACAAACTAAAGCGGGCTTGAAACGGGAACATGATTTTTCTATCTATTAAATGTCTATTATTATCAAACTTGCCATACGACAAGTATTAAAAACACGATAAATTTTGCAATATTTTTTGTCTTTTGGTATAGCAATGAATAAAAATATGCTGGATAAATATTCTCAAAAATACGCTTGATCTTTTAAATTGGATTAAAAAGTTCAAGACAACTTAACGTCTCAGTATCTGCTTTTCCTGGGTTTTTCGCTGTCAATTAGACCTTCTAACGAAATTAATCCAAATTCTCACAACTTTGTTCTAAGAACTAATTTCAGTGTCTAAAACGTATGTTAACATGAAAGATATTCCTAAGAGATCTAATTCTCTCCATCGAGCGAAGCGGATAACATCCATTTGCGCCATTGCATTTATGTCCACATAAAACTGACAGCTACAAGCTTCTTTTAAGTTTATTCTCATAATGCGATTTCGTTCATAAAAACAGATCGATTTTGGAAGCTTAATCCACTGCTGGGAGCTGGCGATCAACTTAAAACTTGTGCCATACGTGCTTGGTAAAAAACAGAAAACTGTTACCTTGAAGAAGGCATGGAATTTGTTTCATTTTTCATGCTCATAGCCTGGAATGTATTAGTGACTAACTTGACTTTTGGAAAAGGTGAGTCGCAGACGGCGAAGCATTTTTTATCCTTCGATTCACTTATGAGTGCAACCTTATTTATATATCTCCCTTATTCTCTTTTGCTGATACAAAAACAGTTAAAGTTACAAAAATTAGCAAAGACTAAGTCAAAAACCCACGTTCAACATCCACCCATAATTGGAGCTCATTTTATTCAGAAAATTGGATATTGGATGCAAAACGACCAAAAACTTCGGCAAATACAAATTACTTCATTTAAAATTGTTACGTTCCCATCTCGCCTCTCTCAATAACATTTAAGCATGACACTATGTAATGTTCAATTTCCTTTTGGTTTATTAAGCGAAATTTGAACTTAATGACTTATCGATCATAAATTAGAGAAGGAACTTGAGAAAAATTTGCGGATAGCTTTTCTTAACGGCTTTTCTTCTATCTCCGCTAAATTACATCGTTCAGGGGGAAACAAGAAGACACGAAATGCTTTATATATATATTATATTGTCTTCAAAAGTGATGGTCGCTGCTGCCAATTTTTGTTTTACTTTTACTTTTAAACTTTGGGATGGTGGGAGAGCTAGGGTTAATTATCTTGTGCCCTATAATAAAAAATATTCAAAATTATGACAAATTATAAAGCGATAACAGCGACATAAAAACAAGAAACAATTAAAAACCTTACCTAAATTTGTCTTTTCCCCAAGCATTTTATTTGTTAACCTTCATTATCTAAATAGAAGTCTCAACTAACTCATGAGGAAATCTCTAAGCGTGGAATTGAGACAAGGAAAATTTGTCCTGAATACAAATGTTCTCAGAAGGACAAAAAAGTCCTCAAATGAGGGTATCAGTAAAAACAGTTTGAACCCAAATATTAATCTGCTGCGTGATGCCATGAAACAATGGCACGTGTCAATGCGAATAAGCATAAATTTCCTATTTCCATGATTACCGGTCTTAATAGCCATAGGTGACTATCAAATGCAATTCTTTTAAAACTTCTTCACCATGACTTAGATAAGAAACTTGAAAAAGGTGGCGGATCGCTTTCCTTTACGGATTTTGTCCTATCTCCCCTAAAATACTATCGCTCCGGAAAAATAGTAAGACTGAACATTCTTTCTGAAAGCCTTGTGTCTTCACAAAAGACAAGTGATGGTCGCTACTACCAAGTTTTGTTTTCGTTTATTTTTTGTTTTTAAACTTTTTTCAGGGGCAAGGGGGACTGGGTGCAATTATCTAGAGCCCTATTTATATATAACATTCAGAAATTATGATATAACAGCGGTAACAGCGACAGCAAAAAACAGCTAAAAACATTACTCAAATTTGTCTTTTCCCTGAGCATTTTATAATAATAATAATAAAAGATTTATACCGCGCCAGTATCCTACTGTTCAAAGGCGCCTACAAGAAAAAAAACTTAAACATTAACACTTAAGACAGCTAATATTAATTATAAAAGGCTTTTCTAAAGAGTAAAGTTTTTAATCTACGTTTAAAAACAGACACAGACTGAGCATTTCTAACTTCACTTGGCAAAGCATTCCATAATGATGGTGCTGCTACAGAAAAGGATCTTGCGCCATATGTTTTCAAGTTATAGGATGGAGAAACCAGAAGGTGCTTGAATGATGAGCGTAGTTGACGCGATGGGGTGTAAGATGTAAGCAGATCACAAATGTACGACGGTGCCAGGTTGTTAAGTGCCTTGTAGGTTATAAGTAAAATCTTAAAAATAATACGTTGGTTAACGGGAAGCCAATGAAGATTGAAAAGAACAGGCGTAATGTGATCATGCTTTTTTGTAAGTGTGACGAGGCGCGCCGCGGCATTCTGGACGTGTTGTAGCCTTTTATGTGTTAACCTTCTTTATCGAAATAGAGGTCTCAGCTGAAATCATCAGGAAATCGTTGAGCGCGGAACTGAGACATGGAAATTGTCCTACATACTGATGTTCTCAGAAAGACACAAATCTGTAGTCAAGGTTTGATTGATGCCACAGTTCTTTGTTCACCGAGCGTGTTATTCTGTAAGCTTAATACCTGGAATTGTAAATTTATATCTGTCTGATAGGGAAAAAACTGTTTTCTAATTACATTTTTCTTGCTTTATTTCAGAGCGAGATCGCACGATGCGGTTTCCAGATTACTTCTTCTTTGCTGGAAAACTTTTGGTAAACCACAAAATCGAAACTAAGTACGTCAGAGACTTGGATCACTGCGAACTTTTCTGCTACATGAACGACAACTGTGTCAGTGCTAACTTCAAAAGAGAGCCAGAGACTGAAGGAATGGCTCATGTTTGTGAATTGAATAACGCAACTCATCTGGATTATGATACTGACCTGATAACTGATGCCGATTTTTACTATCGCGGCTCAATGGTGAGTAACAACTCAAATTTATCAGTTCTTGATGCCTTACGATGAAACAAAATAAGAAGTGCCTTGTGCTAAAGTTTTCTTTTATCTGATCATTCTCTCTTTCAGTCGCATACTTAATATTACTCCTTCGAACATCCTTCCGTCATTTCACCTTCTTTGTTTTTCTTTTTCAGAACGCCTGCGGGAAAAATTCACTGTGCAAAAATAATGCCACTTGTCAGTCTGGTTTTACAGTCAAGGGATATCGTTGCTTGTGCCCTCCAGGAATCGAGGGAGAAAATTGTGAAAAAGGTTAGTTTCAGTTATACATGAAATAACAAACATTTCATTCAATCTTTCAGTTTTTAATACTCGTCACACTTGGTTGTCGAGTGAATCTGTTAATGGGGGATTCCCAGGCTGACCTTTGAGGAGTGTAAGCTGAAAAACATAGTGGTCTAATATCCTTTGAAATAGCGTTAATAGTGAGATCATGTTCCACCGCAATAATTTTGCACAAAGTAAACTGAAGTGAAACGAATTCTAGTACCGTCCAAACTGTGAAAAGTCCTAAAAGTTTTAGGAAAAATTTCGTTTCTAACACAGTGCAACAAATGTAACCTTAAATTTTAACACCTAAGCAAACTTTAGCCTTGGCTTGTTGTCAAAGGACTGCTTTTGATTTCTGATCCAAAAGAAATAATGATAATGATAAAATATTGTGGACCTTCTTTTCGAAACAAATGCAGTACTCTGTGAAACTTATAAATTGTGCACAGTTGCTAGAGTAATATTTTCGAAATTTTGATTCTAAGAAGAAAATGGCCATGAGCTGCTGTACGAATTTTTCTTGCTTAATAGATGCCCGTAAAGTTTCCTCTTTCCTTCTAAGAAATTTTAATCCATCACTTCTTTGGAGTTATCACTGAAATTAATGCACCCGGTCCGCTCGATTTCCTGTTTAAGCGTATTACGCTCTCAACAAAAAATGATCCTTATATTATTTTTTTTATTTCACTATTTATTATTTTATTTTACGCCTTCATTCGGTTTTTTGGTTTGGAACCAGATCAGCAACAAAGTGAATAATTTATTATGAAGATATGGATTTCAATTATGATGGACACATCTCTCCGGCATCCTTTCTGTTTCTAGAATAAACTTCAGAGAGCCAGCACAGGTGTTACTTTGTGTTTATTGCGTTGAACCACCCACCGAACGAATACTATTACACTTCAACAGAGAATACACTTTAACTGGAGAATACTCATTTTTAAAGACTAAAAAGTCTATAAAAGGGTATGTCTGCTCCTGCACAGGCAAGAATCAGCTAACTATTAATCACCAGATTACCCGTTAATATTTTGTTAACCATTTGACGTAAAAAGCTAGCGAGACAGTCACATTGTCAATGCCTTGCTGTCATTTCTAGATATTGACGAGTGTGCTACACTTGACAATAAATGTACTCTTGGTGGTGGTATTTGCGAAAATACAGCAGGATCATACAATTGCACCTGCCAGTCTGGACATTACTGGGATGGTACCAAATGCGTAGGTTTGTTGACTTTTTCTTTTCTTTGGATCTAAGTTTCTTTTTAAGGAAATAGATACCTGTCACCCGTATTTGTGTGCCTATCTATCTGGCTGTCTATCTGGCTGCTGCATGTCTGTCAATTTTTTTAATTTTTAAACCAAAAAGAGTACTCCTCCTGAAGTGCTTTGCGAGAGACGGGCGCTAGAATTGCGATGGAAATTTCTTGCTAAAGGGTAGAGACTGAATTTATCAGCTATTGTCAAGCTAATTTCAAAACATTGGTCAATACCATTATAAATATTTTGATTGATATGATTTCACTATGCTGAAAGACAAAAATTTTAGTCTTAATCCACTCGATTTTCTACCATTTAGCTGACATATGCCTACTCCACACTGTCTTGCACGCTGTTGATAGAGCCGTAAGTCACCGCACCGCGGGAGATCCAAAATGTGATGAAAATCTTAACACTGGTTGGTACCGTTTCCTGAATATTTCAGGAATAACAATGCCGACTAAGTGTCCACCTTCTGACTCATGCGGTGCAACAAATTCGGGCTGGTTGCGCGGCGATCATCCCACAGTGGATGAGGGAGAAGTAACAAGGACTGTCTGCTTCAGCAGGAGCTCAGCACTGTGCTGTAAGGAACAAAACTTCATTACGGTGAAGAACTGCAGTTCCTTTTACGTCTACCGTTTAGTACCGACGACGAAATGTTCCTACCGTTACTGTTTCACATATAACTGAACATCTTAAAACTCTCAATTATTAAAGAATATTGACAGCTAGTTGGGTTAAAATATATGCTCTTCTGCTATTGGTGACCAAAAATCGCAATCAGGGACCGTCTGCTTCAGCAAGAGCTTAAACGAGTGCTGTAACCACCAAAATAACATTAGGGTGAAGAACTGAACTTCAGTTTATGTTTACCATTTGGTGCCGACGAGCTGTCATTACCGTTACTGTTTCACATAGTGAACATAGCCAAGTTTATCAGTTAACTATCTGCAATTTTTAGACGCCATTACTACAAAAATATCGGCGGCTAGTTGGGCTAAAATACATGCTCTTTTTGAGCGAAGTTGTACAGCCAAAAAGCTCAGTACGAGAATATATTCTACCCCAATATTTTGTGGTATTGGTATCTCAAAATCGTAGTTAGCTTTGTATAGTGATCCATCCGTCACTAGAAGGTAAAACTATAAACAAACCGGTAAGTGCTTGATCCAAATTTAACTTTTTCTTTCTGCAAAATATATTCATAGCAACGTGTAGTATAAAGAGTATAGAGTTTTCCGACGGATATTTGAGTGATTTTGCAGAATTTGATGTCGATGAGCTCATCTAGTAGCAAAAAGACTCAACAAGATTTCTTCATAGTGAGTTTGAAGTCCGAAGACCTCCTGAATTAATGATCATGTAGCAACCAGCTTGAAGGTTTCCAGGATGGTGTTTCGAAGAGGTTTTTAACAATTATTCCAAGACCGCCCATGGGATATAAGATTAGTAAATAGCCAATGAGGCGCGTAGGGAATCACCTTGTATGCAAAACGATTTACTCAAGTTTTGCGAAGCTGGATTTTCTTTTAGCTGGAAACCAACACTTCTCCCGTGCATTTCGATTAATTTAATTTAATAAATAATTATTCTAGTCGTGCTTGTTGGATGCAAGATTGGTTATAGTCGATTTGAACGCAATTTTTTTCCGTTAAGTTATCGAAAAAATCCGCCAAGACTTAAGTAAGAAACTTTTGTTTAAAACGTACACCGAAAGCTCTTTGTGTTACAAAAGAAGTCTTTGGAACAACGTGAACACGGCAATGCAAAACAAGCAATCTTTAGCGAAACTCCGAGTGATGATACCCTCTAAGGATTTTCAATAGCCATAAACGAGGACTCAGAGAGTGAAGACAGTACAGACGATGAAGAAAGTCGCCATCATCAGCGGTTTCTTCCAGTCAGTTCGAATCTGCCCTGAACATACCAAAGACCGTTAAGAAAACTTATGAAAAATTGAAATGCCACTGCACAGCAAAGGCTAGACTATCCGTGACGACTCCATTTTTCAAATAAGGCTTTCTTGACTATTATAAGCTTTCAACTTGTGAGTGGCAATTATTTTTTCGATACTGTTAGAAATTTAGTGAGTACATATTATTGCATTTTAGATATATTCCCGATACTTGCGTGTTGTTGAAACTACTTTTCATTCCTTTCCAGGAAATTTATTGGAAAATTAGAATTGCACCAGCTTTTTATGTGTGATATGAACAGTAATAACTCTACTTCTTCATAAAGACTAATTAGAATAAGGAATCGGCAAACTGATGACGATTCTCTGCTCAAGAGTTGTAGGTTAATTAAATTTGCAGCTAATAATAAATGAGGTAACTCCATGTGTGTCGACTACTTTATTGATTAATCACCTTTTGTCACCTTTGTCTTACGGAGGGAAGTTTAGCTCGCGTTAACTGCTGAGGCAGTCTCCCGAAGTTTAAAATGCGTGAATCCTTATCCTCTAGACAATTCTTTGCCGTGATGGTCACCAAACATGATAAAAATGATGATCCGAAAGGGACCTAAGAGATGATATTTTTCCTGCAAAGACGTTGATTTCTGATTGGTATGTCCTATCTAAAAAAAACACATATGGAATGGAAAAAAATTATTCAGGCCCATACGGGATTTGAACCCATGACCTCTGCGATACCGGTGCAGCGCTCTACCAATTGAGCTAACAAGCCAACTGGGAGCTGGTCAATGAATTGGGTCCAAATAAACATCAAAGTGAATGAAGATTTTAGATATATGAAAATTCATATATTTGCACTGCGGTGGAGAGATAAAATTAGGAGATCCTCGCAGCTAAGAACAGTACTGAAACGAGTAGGACCTGAAAAATATATGGAATGGGTTACTAGCTTTACGACTCGACCAATTTAGGAACTAATCCTATGTTACCACTGATCTTATGTACCTACTGATCCTATGCTACGGCTGATCCTATGTTCCTACTGATCCTAAGCTCCGGCTGATCCTATGTTCCTACTGATCCTATGCTCCGGCTGATCCTATGTTCCTACTGATCCTATGCTCCGGCTGATCCTATGTTCCTACTGATCCTATGATCCTACTGATCCTATGTACCTACTGATCCTATGTTCCTACTGATCCTATGTTCCTACTGATCCTATGTTCCTACTGATCCTATGTTCCTACTGATCCTATGTTCCTACTGATCCTATGTTCCTACTGATCCTATGATCCTACTGATCCTATGTACCTACTGATCCTATGTTCCTACTGATCCTATGTTCCTACTGATCCTATGTTCCTACTGATCCTATGTTCCTACTGATCCTATGTTCCTACTGATCCTATGCTCCGGCTGATCCTATGTTCCTACTGATCCTATGTTCCTACTGATCCTATGTTCCTACTGATCCTATGTTCCTACTGATCCTAAGCTCCGGCTGATCCTATGTTCCTACTGATCCTATGCTCCGGCTGATCCTATGTTCCTACTGATCCTATGCTCCGGCTGATCCTATGTTCCTACTGATCCTATGTTCCTACTGATCCTATGTTCCTACTGATCCTATGTTCCTACTGATCCTATGTTCCTACTGATTCTATGTTCCTACTGATCCTATGTTCCTACTGATCCTATGTTCCCACTGATCCTATGTTCCCATTGATCCTATGTTTCCACTGATCCTATGTTCCCACTAATCCTATGTTCCCATTGATCCTATGTTCCCATTGATCCTATGTTCCCATTGATCCTGTGTTCCCACTGATCCTATGTTTCCACTGATCCTATGTTTCCACTGATCCTATGTTCCCACTGATCCTATGTTCCCATTGATCCTATGTTCCCATTGATCCTGTGTTCCCACTGATCCTATGTTCCCATTGATCCTATGTTTCCACTGATCCTATGTTCCCACTGATCCTATGTTCCCATTGATCCTATGTTCCCATTGATCCTGTGTTCCCACTGATCCTATGTTCCCATTGATCCTATGTTCCCACTGATCCTGTGTTCCCACTGATCCTATGTTCCCACGGATCCTATGTTCCCACTGATCCTATGTTCCCACTGATCCTATGTTCCCACGGATCCTATGTTCCCACTAATCCTACGAACCCACTGATCCCATGTGCCCACTGATCCTATGTTATATTGCTCCTACGAACCCACTGATCCTACTTTCCTTCTTAACCTACGAAGTCATCGGTTCAATCATTCCGCCAAATTCTGACCATATAGTCTATGACGTAGCTGGTGCGGCGCACACCCTTTATCAACCACATGTGTGATGCAAATGCAAATACAAATGCAAGGATTTACACGTGTGAGCCGGGGCAACGCAAACGCAAATGCAAACGCAAGGCGAAAATACAGGTTCCATCGGTTCCTTGCCACCACAGCACAGTTCAAAAGAAGATGGCGCCGACGTCGTCCGCAATTTCGGAAGAAAAACTTTTGGGGAGTGAAAGGAAATTTCCTCTATTTCTCGACAAAAGTTTACCAAACTTAAAGAAGAAACCAAGGAGACCCCTCCTTGAAAAGAGGTGGCCAGATAAGTTGGCCGTAAAAGACGGTATATTTTACAGAAAATTGTAAACATAAACTGCGAATACATCGATGTAGTAATAAAATGGCTCCCGAACCAGTCAGTAAAAAGTTAAAGCGTAAATTTTGTCTTCTGAGCTCTCTAAACGAAAATGAATGATAGCAGCAAACTCTTCGGCAAAAGCTCGATCATTTTTGGCCATCAATGAAAAGTACACTACGCTTGCGTATCTCACTTTCCTTATGTTTGCGTTGCACTTGTTTAACTCGCTGCATTTGCAGATGCATTTACTTTTGCATTTGCATCGCACCAGTCAACCAGGCTTAAACGTGCAATTTGATCATACAGGGCTCAAGGTCAGTTCTATAACAATAGCAACCAAATTTTAAAACAGATCACACCTTCTCCTTAACTGGTCACACCCACAAGGTTATACAATCAAGCATTTGCTTTGCTGACATGTCGAACCACTTCTGTTAGATATTTCTATTTGGGTTTTCTTACACCAATTTCACGTGACCAATTGTTGGATTGTACGCGAAGTTGAAGTTGCAGATTATAAAACCGTCATCTTGATCTTGTCTTCACTGTTTTCTGGACTTTGGGCTAATGCATCCCAACTTCCCAGTGTTTAGCCTAACCTTCGAAAATTTGTGAAGTACATGTTTTTCCTTTTGTTTTCCCCTCAACTCAATCACGAAAACGTACCTGTGAAATCTAACAGGAGAGACCGTGACTGGAAAATTATCACTTTCTCCTTTAAGTGCGGTTTTGCCTGTATTGAACGTCAGGGGTTCTACGCTCTTATCATCACTTTGTCGGGCATGGTGGTGCATTTCGCGGGGTGAAATAGATATTTTGAAGTCTTCCGCTCGCATGCTCGCGTAGTTGTTCAGACTCCTTTGTTACCATTTTTTTTCAGTTTTTATTTTCTTAATGCCCTTCAAAGTGATAATAATAATAATAATACAGTTCAAGTTCTTGAGCATAAATATGTTTTGGCCTTTCTCGTAGTCATTTTAACACTCCTTAGGCGGCTCGGACTAAAAAATTACTGAGTCGACCACAAAACATATTCATTCCCGCGAAATTAAAGTTTTATAACTGGCTGGCAGCTCACAACCTAAGCCTGGTTTTGGACACAGTTGTGACTTTCTTCTTAGGAATTAATAGGGTTCGTAAAATGGTCAATATTCCGTGAAATTTCAAAAGTTGACTGAACAATGAGGACCAAACAAGTGTCAGTTTAGGTCAAATAGGTCGTCTGCATATTCTTTTAAGACTCGAACTTACTAGATCTATTAAGAGAGAAAACCGATAGGAATACAGGAAAATGCTGGCACTCTTTTAGAGATTGATCTTTTGAAATTGAGATTGACGCAAGTTAACAGAGATCATTCAGCGGAATGGCGTTCGGTCATTGCTTTGTTTACCGGCTTCCTTCTCTGTGGGCGAGGAAAATCAAAATAACCTATAACTAAAACTTGTTCTACATTTATTGACCATTTCAATGACATACAGTTTGCGGTGGAGTTTCCTGAAAAAATTGTGCGTGCATGAATTTTCTTCGTGAAGGCAACCGCGAAAGTTTGGAGTAACTATAAGATATTAATGATTTCTAGCATTTCCAGTGCGATTTGGAATGAAGAAGCAGCCGTAAATAATACAAATTGAACTTAATCTTACAGGCTAGTGCCTTTTTTCTCTTTCTTTGATTATGCAGAGTTCAATGGGTCTTTTCGACGATATGTCAACTTGGCAACTCAATTGACCACTGAATACCTACGTAATCGGCTTACTTACCGAACACCAACTGCCCAACATCTATTGTTGGCTCGACGATGTTGTTGAGAATTCTAGATTACTGATGACAGATATTCATATAAGTAGTGCAAAAAGATATTTTTGTTTTTTTTTTCTTTTAAGTTACGTTTACGTCTCTTAAGAAACGAACTCGAAGATGAAATTCCCGATCCAAGTTCTTAGTTTTTCTAGTCCTTTTTTCCCAACGACTTAACTCGGGTCACTGCACGCGATTGCCAAGAGGTCGGTCAAAGCTTAGGAACTACAAATGCCACGCGTGAATTCTTCGCATTTTTGGTAATTCTTCATTTTTATACCTGTGTTTTTTTCCAATCGTCACCAATAAATTTCTTTTTGGCTTTAACGGCATTTTACCTATAAAAATGAAACAGTGACTTCTTTTATCAAACTGCTGCAAACAAGTTCGAGTGAAATCGTTTATTTGAAGTTGAGGCCACTTGAATACACAAACAAATTACTCACTTTTTTATGCTCATATTGTGTAAAGCAGTTCTTCTATAGCGATGTTGATCATGGATTCTGCACCCTATTTCTTGCACGATAGCACCATCTTCTCCTTGTGGGTGATTCGCCGTCTATTGACATGAGTTGCAGCCGATATGCACTGATGAAATTGATCAATGTTGATTGATTATAGATGGAGGGTCTCATCAGGGGACTAGCTTTAACATTTGATGACAAAACATTTTTTTCCGCGTATTTTGACGATTGACGGTTTAATTTTGGAGTATTTTTTGGTAAACAGTCGTCAAAAAAAAACTATTTTCCTTTATTTTATCTTGATTCCGTGTACATCACAGGATTCTCTTTTTTTTTCCATCATTATCCTCTCAAGACTATCTTTCTTTGTGAAACGATCCTGGTCAAACTTTGCCTTCTTATTAATAAGCAGTGACAAAGGTCCATACATTTCAGTTACATGGTAGGATCTGGGTACGAAATCAGTAAGGGCCTTCATCACTATCTCGTTGCTAAGCTACGCGTTCGTCATGCGAAGACTAATATTTCACTTCTGTTTTTCACATTTTGTGCATTTACCACTTAAAAGGCGCGACCCGCAGATACTTCTGTACGTATCATATTTTTCAACAAAAATATTTTTTCTTTTGTTCTTTATCTTTATCTACTTATCAAATGCTGAAATGACTTGACTGTTTTGACTCTGAGATTCGTAAGATTAGAGTCTTTGAAAAATGAGCGAGTTTGAGGGCAAAGTACAAGCATGAATTAAGGAAAGTAAATCCCACAGCTGCGGCTCAGAGTCGCTACAAAACTGGAAAAGTCTTTCATGAAGGTGAATACGCTGCCAAAAATTCGTTGAATTTCGAAATAAAAGATGTATAGACAAAAACGGTAGAAAATTAAGGACAAGCACGTTTATCTGGGTCACGTGACGTTGAAGGGCATCAATAGGCTGGCACTTCTTTCATCATTAACTGTCCGAATTTTTTCAGATGATAGCAGAACAACGTCGAGTTAAAACTGACTTGATTTCCCTTGCAACGCCCTAAATAGATCGTGGCGAGGACAAATCACTGCAGTCAGTGTAGCCACAAAATTCTTAAAATTTTGTTTGTAAATTCAAAACTTTGGCTGATACATGGCTGTTGTCCAAACAGAGTAGATTTGAGGTGAAATTAGGGTGAAAGGGAATGAAGGTTAAGTGACCCTGATCGAGTTAAACAAAGCACAACTTCATGACGTACAAAGATATCGAATGTGTTGTGGAAACGAAGATCTGAGTAACCGCAACAGAGCTATAACATGAGATAGTCTACACTGTATTTTTTTATTATTATTATTATTTCTAATCAAAATGATCTTTGATCTTGATTCCTCTGTTTCGTGTTCGAAACAAATAAGTAAACTAGTGTGTCTCGTTTTGTGTCCGATCGGTATGAACCTCTGGCTTTCTATCCGCTGTAGTTTGAAAATTAATAATAAATGAACAAAAGCAGAGGCCCATACAGCATAGAATGGTATTCAACTTGTCAGTGTGCCACTATATTTTGGTTGTTCAAACCAGCTTTCTTACGGTAAAACGAGAGCGTGCATTGTACCTAATCGTGCCTTTCTGGTAGGCCTCTGCAGCCCTCTGAAAGAGAACTGTCGGGCCACGGTTTGTAGTTTGGCGAGAAGCAGTCGAACAGTCGATATTTGTTCTGAATTTTGTCCAGTGAGCAAAGTAACAAATCATGGAAGCTAATCTTTAGTAGAAAACTTGTCTCCGCATTAATCTCAAAACCAGAGTTAAATTAGACAAGACATCACCTTCTTAGTATTTTAGAAAAATTCCTCCTCCTACCTGAACGGATATAGATGCATTTCAGTCTTTTTTTTTTTTTTTTTTTTTTTTTTTTTTTTTACAGCTTTGTTATGATTATCGGCTATGCTCACGCGAAGCTATTATTTGCCTCTCTCTCAACTTCAGACATGTTATCATGTTGCATCACAGCCTCGCGACTAATGGCACCAAGGTCCCACCAGGGCCTGGCTACTTTTGGGGGCTCTACTTGTCCCATCGCAAATCAAGTCCCTAGTTTTATTCATATTGAATCCTCCCTAGTGTGATAGTGGCCATTCCACTTCGTTCGTGGATTGAAACAAATATCAGAAAGGCATGTTATGAACAACACTTTGTGTGGAGAGATCACAGGAGATTCTGGACATATCTTCGGGTCCAGCCTCTGGCGCGGATGTTTGTATAGGTCTTGTCGGTTAGAACATATACTTCAGAGCTTTGAAAAGCTCATTTTTCTCTTCAGATCGTGGATTTTCGGGTATTTCACTTGAAAATTGTGCATGTTTGTAGGATCATCGCTCAAGCTTGACGATTTTGTAGGCGCTGGATGGCGGACGGAAAGATCAGAAGTGCTTTGTGTGCTCTGTGCGTGCTTTTTAATAAGCCTAAGGACGGTAACGTCTGACGTGTAAATCTCAACAAAAATCCGGTGCATTACGAGGCCCATTATGAGAACGGGCAGTTTTTTTTTTGCTGCGAGTGACTCTGAGCAAACTAAGCTAACCATATTGCATCCTGAATACGGAGAGTATCTGACTGACTAACGGTGCCGCAAAGGTAGTGTTTCAGTACTTAAGCAATTTTGATCCCTGAATTATTTCCGCCTCTCGGTTTCAGTGCGATCGAGCACTTCGTGAAAAAGTACATTCGCCCAGGTAATTTGAAATGTACCCCTACAATACTATGAACTCATAACAAAAGTCTATTTCTTTTTTAGTCTCATTCCTTTAATTTGACAAAGATGAAATTCTTTTTTTTTTCCTCTTGAGATTCGTTTAGATAAGTGTCAGTACTATTCTTTGTAGATTTTAGGTATTAGCCTTTAGACTTTTCTCGTATTCATGTCATGGGGCACGGTTTCACGATTCTGCTGAAATACAAACCGCACCAAAAATTTTCCAAAAAGCCATTAGTTTATGACCGTGATCGTGGGGAGGTAAGAAAAGCGATACACTAAGAATTGATCCACGGGAGGTGTTCAGTTGATGACATCAAAGAAATAAAGAAAGTGCGTTTGCTACATTCTTTTAGTTTCCTTCAGATTCTTGGATGTACTTTTTTCCTGCAACATAATCGTTACCGCTATCTGCTTTGTGCCTATCAGTTGATCTGTTTTGATTTCCCGTGAACTGTTTCCGGTTTGTAGGTCACTCAGATCGATATCTAAAATTAACACGAAATTCCTTGGCATAATATAGCGGTGCAAACACAACGTACTGTTTCAGTTTGTCCTTCTAGAGACTTTAATTTGGGTCACACCGTGGCTTCCACCATTGGTCATCTCTTGTGTTCAAGAAACAAAAGCAACAAGATCATATTTGTTCCACAGGGGAAAAGGTGTGTATGTATTGAAAAAGAAATTGTCGTTTTTATCTACAAAAAAATATGTTTGTTATGACTGGGTGAATTGTTTTACCCCCTTCGTGAGTTTCCATGGCTGTGGCCTGCGTTGAACAGTCTAGCAGTCAGTAAGTGTTATCAATGCCTAATTTCTCACCGAATCCCACCGGGAATTGTCCGTTTTATTTGAAATTATTTTGCATATCATCTCAATCATCATGGGATTCAATAGTAATTTCATACCGACAATTGAAGTACCCGAAACCATCGGCACTTTAAAATGGATCGATCAGTGATGTTGGTTGATGCTTTTTCAACACATTCTCTTTAGAGTTTTCTTGCGGATTGCCTGGCATTCTAACACGACAATCAAGCAATCGACTCCTCACCATCGCTGTCTCTGATTTGGTGGAAAATGATGAAAGGCTTGGCAATTTTCACGCTGCTCATGTTGTGTAATTCCATGTCGGCCGCACGCAAACCAAAGCACACTTTTCGAAGCGGTTCAGGATCGGCGAGGCGACCCAACATAGTTTTTATTATGACAGATGATTTGGACACTGCGCTTGGATCGCCGGAGGTAATGAAGAAGACTAGCAAAATTCTTCGCCAAGAAGGAGCCGACTTTGTGAACGCGTTCGTCACAACACCTATGTGCTGCCCTTCCCGCGCCAGCATTTTGACTGGTTCCTACGCACATAATCACAACACGTACACTAATAACTTGAATTGTTCATCTCCATCCTGGAGAAGAGGCCCAGAGAAGAAAACTTACGCCAAGTACCTAGAGTCTTCGGGATACGTAACGGGTAAGTTAATACATTGATCCTCTCTTCTAGAACTATAATTATACTTTATCAACACATTGTCTGGTGTCATAGAACTTCACTCAGGGGAATACTTCACATTGAAATTCTGAAATCGAAACCAATAATTTTTATGGTTTCTTTAGTACAGCTCCTCTGACACAATTGACTACATTGAGCCTTCGCTGCTCACGCTGGTTATCACAAATCTGCCATCTTACAATTAGCCACAATAGAATTGTAATGAATATCACATCTCGTTGACATTCTTTTGGTCGTCCGATTTTCAAACGATGCTTTGTTGCTTGACTAACTCTCATTGTCTTTTTAAGTGAATTACGTCAGCACTGCCGGCATTTTCTAAAGTATTTCATGAAGCAGCTACAGCAAAGAGCTGATCCCTAGAAAGTCCGGTCAGGCTGCAGCTCATATGTAAACCTCTTTATCAAAACTATTACCCAGCGCATGTTTGGCGGTTTAGCTGTGTTTTGGTCACAGCAATTCATGGGTCAATGTTGTATTTTCATTAGAGATTATTTAATCAGTTAATTCACTTCGCAAGTAGCGATAAGAAAAGAACGAAAACTTCTCTCTTCAAAGAAACATTTCTTCTTATTTCGACCAAGTATGCTTTAAACCAAGAAGTTGTATTTGTTTTGATTTCATCGAAGAAATGAAATCAGAGAAAATCGTTCAAAATCCATCCTCTGGCTAAACCTCCGCAATAAGTCGATCTCAAGGTCGTTTAAAGATTTAAGTAGCTCTGACCCAATGCAAAGGAAATGCTCCTATCAACAGGTTAAAAACTCCCTTGATCTGAAAACTCAGTGTACTCAGTTGCTTTTGCTGTCTCTTAATGTTTTGGAATCTTTCCACACCATAAGTGCACGATCTTTAAACTGACTAAAAAGTCAGTCATTAAAGGTTCAGCGACTTGCATTCTGCTCTTCACTTTTGTTTTACCAGACAAGTTATTCAAGGAATGTCGCCTTTGGTTGAAGGTTGTCTTATCTGACCAAATCTGCAAAAAAAAAACTGTTTTACAGGACTGATAGCGGTCTGTTTTACCTGTCTACTGAAACGATTACTCGAAGTGTATCATTGAAATTGCTTGTAATTGCATTTAGCTAAATGCGCACTAGAGGATTTTGATGAAGTGAGACGTCCTACAAAGGAATCATTTGCATATTATTCATTTATCATTTTAAGATTGTAGTTGTGCAATACTTTCGTTGAGGCCCCCTGATGGTGGTCGACTTTTAGTGGAAATCAAATAACAGCGGCTCACCGAATTATTAAACAATGTAAAAGCATTTGCCGTGATGTTTTCCGGGATGTACGTTGCTTCCTTAGGATTAATCACCAAAGGCAAATAAAGGATTCAGTCCCTTTCCGATATCATGAAATCGTGCCAAGGTAAATGGTCTTCTCTTAAGCGAGCTAAATCTAGAAAAGGTGGAAGAGTGTCAACGGAGTTATAACGAAACATCACGAATTTCCTCTCTTTAAATTGATAGCCTGTTTGCGATGAAGATATCACTCTAAGTTTGCTGTAACCTTTGCTCGTGATTCCGACTACACAGACATTCTATGAACAGACTCGGCAGAAAAAGATGAACATTTAGCACTTCTATCTGAAAAATTCCGACATTGCCATGAATTGTTTCTATAATCTGGAACACTATTCTTTTCCTGTCAAGGTTATTTACACTCATGTGTAATAAAGTAAGCTTTGCAGAAAAGTTTTCCGTATGATGAAGCAAACAGAACGAGACAAATTTATGTACAGAGACAAGGTCATATTTTTTGCTGCTGTGGCAGTCTTTCACCACTTCGGTTAGAAGCATAATACTTGGGAAGGGAAACGACGAAAACGCACAGTAATTAGTACCATTTTTAAGGAATAATGAAGACTTCTTTTTAGCAAAGCTTCGCTGACATTGTTTACCTTACTGCGTAGTTTTGTTTTATTTTATTTTATAATTACAAACGCCTTGCACTTTTCCTCAAATGAACTTTAACAAGCTGAAAGGAGTTTTCACTCAGACAAGCTGAGCTCGTTTGGTTTGAAGGGTTCTTGCCGACGAGTCCATAATTGACTGTGTGAGGTTCATTGGAAAGCATTTTTGTATTGATCCATGTTCAAACTGATCACGAACTCAAACAGGAAGGCGTATCAGCCAGCTATTTGGATGACGTGCCTTAACCCAGAATTGAAGTTGTTTTTTAAGACTGTGGAATTTCTCAGTGCATTTGTCTAAAAGCAAGTATCTCCTTTCGTGAAACTAACAAAGAGACAAAAATTCCCTGAATGAACGTGATTTGATCTATCTCTCTCGCACGCTCACTGTCTGTCTCTTTATTTTATTGCCCTATTTTCTTTGGTCCGTCCTTTGTAATTTACTGTACCGCAATGGTGTCAACAGCAGAAACGTGACCATTTGAATATTAAAAATAAAATCTAGATCTTACTAAAATTACTGAGGTGAAAAATATGAAAAAGGCATTCTAACAATAGATTCACACTAATTGGGGAAGCTTTATTCCCTCTGCCATTACAAAGTCATTGGGTGTTTGTCAAATAATTTCCTCCTCTGTTTTTTTCCTAAAAGGAAAGCGAGAATTATATCAATCGATGAAAACTATCAAAACTAGAACTTTTATTGTAGTCGGGGTTAAACGCTTCTCCAATTCATAGAAAGTTCAACTCATAATAGTGCTATAAACATGTTAATTTTTCATTTACCGGATTCACAACGAGATTATTCTCTTCTTTTTTTTTCGAAGTGCGGGGGGCATTGACTATCGATTTTCCGGATATTTTTTTTCCGGACAACACAATTTTTGTCCTGGAAAACTGAGAAAGAACTTTCTTGCAACATCTTACCTAGAAAGGGAAGTGCTAATGAGATTCATCCACAGCAGCTTCTCATACCATCACGATCTACTGACACGTGTAATTTAATATCTTAGTGGGGCAAAAAATTGTTAAATTGTTTGATGAAGATTTTCCTCTCTTGACACAACAATACGGATATGAAATTTTCATGCAAATCCCCTTTCGAAGATCTTTTTATTCGGGTGTCAAACTCTGAAGAGGGCCAAATGGCGGCGATTCTCACAGAACGAGTTTGGCCTCCACCTTCGTTGAGAAAAAGTGAAAATAAAAACGAACCGGAGAAAGCTGACATGAACCATGGAGGTTTTTTTGTGGTATTTAGCCTTATATACCAAACCAAAGTGCAACAGTACAAACAAGCTCTATAAATAGTATCATATATGGTCGAAAAACTTCTTGCATTCAAGAACCGTTTTTCCGTTCTTTTGTTGTTTTTCTAATGTGACCTGGTAAGATACACGGTGACTGTATGTTGAAAGGAGCAGTGTCTTCACCTACGCACGTTAATTATTTCATTGAACTATGAAATTTTCATCCAATTAAAGAATCTTTCAGTAGGTTACTTCAGAATGCAGTATGTCAATTGATCACATATAAAAGGCACAAAAGAATTATGCAAAAGGCATCTTTAACACTCGTTTTGATGAGAACTTCACTAGAGCATTAAGCGTTTCTGATAGAGCATTTTATACAGCTGTATTTACAGTCCCACAGTTTCACAGTTGTGTAATGGATGTCCTTTCTGAAATACTGAACCAAAATAGAATCTTCACGAACAACGAAACTGAGTATTTTAAATACTTTAGCAGAATTCATTCTGTAGATAAACAACACATATGCGCTAATCAGGATTATAATATCGTGGTATTTTGTGCAAACCGGACAATACAATTTTTGTGCGCGTTAGCAGGGCGGGAAGAGGATAAGTGTCTTTACTTTAAATGTTAATCTTTTCATTGCATGTGTAAGTAATAATTGGTGCGAATAAACAGTAATCAGATTTGCGCTGAACAATGTTTAAAGCCAGTTGACCCTAATTGCTGGGTTGGAACAACGCATCTTAAACGAAGCACGCACTGTAACCCACACATTGTACATTTTTCACATATGACCTACTAAATTGCAATTGATAATTATGGAAAACCTCTTGCAGTTTATTTTCTTTAAACCCAGCCAGCTGCACGATGAGAGGGATATTTTGCATCATAATGGCGATAACCGTCGGTTATCTTCGTGTCACAGGTCCATCCGCCTTACTGCGTCGCCTTTTTAATGTCTTTTAAGTTCGTAAGAAGTGTGAACAGAATGTCAGTCCTGTCTGAGAACTTATTTAAAGATCTACTGGTTGGATTTACAAGTCAGACGTTATTGTATACGCCTAATACAATTGTCAGCGAGCCAAAACACCAGATAAACGAATCAATTATTACAACAAACAGTCCAATCTCATTTACGTAAAAGGTTTTTCTTTAACTTCACTCGTAAACCTTGACTGAGGTTCTAGAAATTGTTTGTTTTGCAATGCCTGTCTGATTTTTTTATCGGAATAAAACAAAACTAAACGGCACATTCTTCTTAGCTTAGTTTTGCGTATTTTCTCCAATTCTTATACATCTTTAAATTCCTCTAGCAATAACCCAATCGCATATGAATTGTCAGATCTGATGGACATGCAAGTGAACAATACGATGGGAACGTTAATTTTAACATGCTCAAACTCAAATAGTCAGCAAACATCAATCAGCAGCCACTAGGACTGTTATTGTCCTATCCGGCATTGGCCTATGAATAGTGCGCTCAAATAAGTTTAAAGTCACAAATTGCATGCACCACAGACTTGCTTGGTCACGGGAAGGAAATTTAAAAAGGTCTTTGGGGTTTTTAATAACTATTAGTATGATAACAATTAGGACTAATTTCTTTTTACTCTTAATGGTATTAGGAAGGATTAGCTTTTGACCACGGAGATACAGATATACAAAAGAAAGATTTTATTTAATCTTTCTAGAATCTCGTCCAGGCGTCGCTGTTTAATGCTCAATAAACAATTGATACTCTTAGTTGCGTGTCGATGATTCTTGATGAAATTTCCACTTTGTTTTTACGTCAGACCATGACTATCGGTTGAATCTTTTCACGGAATCGGCCTACCTGATATACCTGCATGGGAAGTTGTTCAAGTGATTCGTTTGTTTAGACATAAAAAAACGGCAGCTATGGGGCAGTTTTTTCGTCTGTAATACATTTTTGCGAATAGATCTGTCAGACATTAAAATCGTGACATGTTTTTATCATAAATTTTCTTTTGACCAGTGACTGGACATCTTATTCTCTGCGAGTTTTTGTCTTCAAGTGAAGCAACCTTTATGTGATCAGTTGTTTAAATTCTAATGGAGACATAGACAAGTTCAGATCAAGATGGTTTATCTTCCTTTCGCAGGTTACTTTGGCAAATATCTAAACGAGTACGATGGGAGCTGGGTACCAGCGGGTTGGAAAAAATGGGAAGGACTGGTGTTTAACTCCAAGTTCTACAACTACACAATACGACGCAACACGTACAAAGAACGACACAAGATGGATTATGGGCAGGATTACTTCACTGATTTCATCACTAATAGGAGTATCTCTTTCATAAAACGGACAAAAGAGAACAAACCACACAGTCCTTTCCTAGCTGTGGTGAGTCATGCAGCCCCTCATGGCCCGGAGACGCCTGCTCCTCAATACAGTACAGCATTTCCTGGTGCCCAAGCTCCAAGGTATGACCAAGATTATGTTTAAGAAAGCCAGTATCTACTATCACTGTAACATTTTGTCTCTTTGTTGCAAGAGTTGATCCCTACAAAAGAACTAGGTTTTTCTGTCATTATTTGTTGGTTTGTTTTCTTGTCTACCGTTCACAAAACAAATTGTTCGTTGTTAGGGTATTCTGAACATATTTGCTCCCCTGTAATTTAACCCTTAACTCCCGTGAGTTACCAAGACAGAATTTCTCCTTACAATATCTATACAATATCAACCAGATAAGTGATGAGAATAAAGAAAAAGATCAATTTGGGGATAATTAGTTGATTTAATACTAAATTCTCTGAACTAACATTACAAGAATTGTATGGTTGACAGTAAGGAGAATTACAAATTTAATTTGTGAGTTAAAGGGTTAAGTTAGGACAGAGTAAAAATCTCTTCATGTTTATATTTTCTCGGAGGAAGAGTATATGTTGCAAGCCGCTATCGAACCTTACCAACCCTGTGTAGTCTACCAATCGCTTACCACACACAGCTGAGCGATCATATCGTCCTTGTGAGGTAACGTTTTGCACTTTTTACAGGTATCCTAACTGGAATTATATATCACTGGACAAACAATGGATCATGAGGGAAACACCTGCGATGAGTGCACAGAAAATAGCTTTCGTGGATCTGCTCCACCGCCGTCGCCTTCAAACACTGCTTTCAGTTGATGACTCAATCGCGCGAATCTTCCACACTCTCCAGTCCCTAGGGATTGAAGACGAAACTTACATATTCTTCACATCAGATCATGGTTACCATCTTGGTCAGTTTGGTCAGGTCAAAGGCAAGTCCATGCCATTTGAGAGCGACATAAGAGTTCCTTTTTACGTGAGAGGACCAATTATTCCCAAGAATATCAGGTGAGACACAACACTCTGTTTCACTTTGATTACAGTTTTTTGTAATCAATCGTAATCAATCAACCAGCGTCCTTTGCCTTGTCCTGTTCTTTTTCTCCTCGTTCTTCTTGTTCCGAGTCCTTCCTTGCCTGCCTTACTGCTCCCCTTTTTGGAAGATACAGCCGCGTCATTTGTTAAGTTAACAAATCTTTGGTTAGGAGAGGACTTTTGACAAATTGTGAATCCAATTGCAAACCACAAATGTGTAAAGTGAGTCGTCGACCTGTAAGGTTTCGAAGAGGATTTCAAAGTGTACAGGACTGATAAGAAGAAAAACAGAGTTAACACCCTTAATTGATCGTTAATCTTTTAATTATCGCTAGTTGTTAGGTGTTGACCCACTGAACCCTAACACCAGTATGTTTATTCTGTATACTGTTCTCTATATATTTCCTAAGGTGCTGACATGGAGAATTTGTTTAAAAAAATCCAGAGTTTTGTTCGTTGGTGACCATCTCCTTTATTGTTGTGACCTTAATGTGTGATTCAGGGGTGATGTTCTGAGGAGAAAATAGATGCTGATCACTCTTAGGGGTGGAAGGCTTAAATTGATCTGACGAGTGATGTTGACCCCAAGTTGATCTTGTTTGTTATGCAGTGTAACAGACATGGTCTTGAACATTGACCTGGCACCCACATTTTTGGATATTGCCGGCATTAAGATACCCAAAGACATGGACGGCATGTCTGTTATGAAACTGTTCCGCAGGACAAGATACGGACGAAGAGCAAAAAGGTACACGTTTTTCCCGAAACTGTGGAATCGAAGTTTCTGATATTCATGCGTACTAATTGTCAATCACTATTAGATTGGTAGGTAATGAAAGAGTACATCAAGTGTTCTGTACATGCGCTGATCATTGTTGTGATATCATAGAGTGTAAAGCTGTAGAGAGCTGTCTTTTTTCTTGAAAGATATTTTGACGAATCACCTAGTTCAGGATAATATCATACCTGACTGAGAGGGGCATTTTAAGCTTTCCACAGAAACAAACGTAGCACAAGTTAAGCTTTCAGTGCGTTTGTTGTTTACTGATCTGTTTGTTTTTATATTTTCCAGGCGAACACATGTTGTATGGAGGGACACAATTCTCATAGAAAGGTCTCGAGGGTAAGCAGAATAGTTCAACACACGACAAACTTAGCACAAAAAATTAGTTTACTTTTGCCCTATTAATGAAGTATTTTGCGTTTCTTTTTTTTTAATCCACAATGAAAAGTTTTATGTCTATTCTAGAAAACCAGTTTTAGTTTGGTTCGTTTTGGAACCATTTAACACATTTATCACTTGGTCAAAGGGAAATTTGATGATTTCAAAAGCAAGAAAAGAAGCATTATTTTGTTGTTTGACAGATCAATTTGCTTAACAGTAGCCACGCTGAGATAATTTCGCGAGCAATTTCGGCCGCTGAAATTTTAAATTTTTTGTGGTAATGAGGCTTGAAACACCCTAAAGAATAGTAATCGTTCTGCATGGGTTTAAGTCATTTGGGAAGGAGACTCCCTGACGATATTATACAGAGAGTTTGCGTATTCATTTGGAGCGTTAAAAGCTAAAGCCTTAATTTATGACTCTCCTTTGTTTAAATTTTAGTTTTATACCCTTAGAGTCAATCTCGTCACCTCTCTTCATATGGTAATAATATACCCTCTTACTTGCTATCACTGAACGTGCTTGTAACGTGGTGTGCTGTACGGCTCGCCTTCCCGACTTACGAGTCATCCGATTGCAGTCATTGGACTAATTTAGTATACTGTACACGTACATTGTAGAAATATTGGCAATGTGTCATTTTAGTTGGAGAAGGACGAAGAACTTCATGAAAGGGAAATCAGGGAACAAGACTGCTTCGGTTAAGGAGCGAAAGATGACCATTTTGGAAGACATCTGCTCCAGGCCAAAATACCAATCCCCTTGTCAACCCAAGCAGCTCTGGGAGTGTCAGACAGTCAACCGCAGACCAAGACTGAGAAAATGTAGACGAAATACCACAACTGTATTAAGGACAGCTCCAATTACCCGACCTACACCTCCTACCGATCCTGTGAAGATGTGTGTTTGCATGAAGCAAAGACCTGATAGTGAACTGCATGAAAACCAAAATGACATGCTGCTCTACGAGGGTGAGTTGAACGGTCGGCTTTCCTTCTTCGATAATCTCTTTTTTTATTTATCCTTTAGTAACAAGGATTCTTTCTTTTGCTTAGAAAGAAGAGCTATTTCATTGAGTGATCAAGCTTCTTAACAATCATCATAATTTTGTCCTTTATTATTTTGCAGAGGAGCTGCTCATAAACGGCATGGATTATTTGACCAAAGAACTCAGACGAAGATCAAAAAGGTCTCGTTATTTTGGATACAATCCAAGGAAGAGAAGAAATGAGTTCAACAACAGGAGGTACCAGAAGGAATTGGCCAGGGCTCATAAGCTGCAAAATCGACGTTCGAAGTCCAAAGTGTTTATTAGGACTCCTGCTAGCAAACCAAAACCTCAGTCAAACGTGACTCAAACGCCTCACGGGTCTTCAGAAGTGCAACGAGCGGTGGCGGAAAAACTTGGAAAACTAAAGGAGAAAATTCAGGGAATAAGGCAACGCCTTGGTGCGTTGCGTGACAGGAGGAAGAAACTGCTTCTGATAAGCGCGCGTGACAAGTTCTTAGAGTACCCCTGTCCATGTAACCACGGTAATGATACCGCGAGAGAGGTCAAAGGAAACTATGGCAATGATCAATACCAGATATCATCGCTGAGAAGAAGAAATAAACCGCCAAAAGCTCCATCCCGCAAAACAGAGACCAAGAAAAAAAAGGGGAAGGCGAAGCCAAGACGTAGCATGTGTGCCAGCCCGGGTATGAACTGCTTCTACCAGACAGAGGATCACTGGAAGCTGCCGCCGCTCTGGACCGGTAAATATTCTCACATTCCATCTGTAAAAATCAGGAAAACGAATTTTTCGTTGAGTGCACGTCATATGGGTCTTTATGCATAACAGTAAGTGAAAGGAACGGAAATCTCACCGTTGCCCCCACAGCCTATGTTAAATTATTTACCAATGATCGATCGCAGTAAGACCTTGACATCCTTTTGAAATGTTTCTCTGGGTAGAGAGCTAAAACTGAGGTGACATTTTTTTTCGGCTATTGGTCAGATTTGCGTTCGGGTTGGCAGTGACTATCCACTGCTGTTCATCATGTTACGGTGGTTTCGGATGCCTTACCTGTGTCTCCTTAGGCAACTCCGCCTAGGTTTTCATTGGTTTATCAGTTGACTGTCTGAAACAGGGTCCCATCTATTAACCGTCGCTCAATACATTTAGTTGAGTTTCACCTAAACATGCAAAGTTATCACAGAGGAAAGTTTACAACAGATTTGTAAAGATTTACACTTCGAGTTGAAATATTATCGTCATGTTCATGCTCAGAATGCCCTGTGCTGACCAGAAGGGTTGTCTTTATGCCATGGCTCAATGTTATCACTTTGTATTTAGGAGCCAGAAGCTTCATGAAATGGTTGAATGAGAGCTTATATGTAATAAACAACGTAAATGGACTGGTAGAACCTCTAAAACTTACATTACCTGATGTTTGTTTTTTTGTATAGGAGGAGAATTCTGTTTCTGTCCTAATGCTGCCAACAATTCTTACTGGTGCTTGCGAACAATAAATTCGACACACAATTTTCTATACTGCGAGTTCATCACAAATTTCTTGGAGTACTTTGACCTCAACAAGGACCCATATCAGGTATGGAAACCCACAATTTGTTCGAAAGTTAAGCTGTACCGGGAAGTTGAGATAGTTATTCTCTTTGAGTTTTTATCTCTGTTATCATTGATTGCGGATAGTTAAAAACAAATCCACGCTTCCTAAAGCTTTTGAATATCAAAAGCTGTGAATAATATACGACTCAAACATGCTTAAGTTTTTAATCTTAGTAACGAGTGTTTTGCCATGCGAATCATATTTTTAAAGCATGTTTACACTCTGAATGATTCACAGCAATCCAGGTTGGTACAGCTCAAGTAATAGTAAATAATGAAAAAATTAATCAAAGTTGAGGAAAAGGCAGGCCAATTTATAATAAATTCTGGAAATTTTTTAATTTGAGAATTATGTGTCAGAAAATGACTATGATACCGTTGAATCTGTAGACTGGGGCTGGAATAAGTCATTACTCACGTTTATCTCGACATTTCTACATTTCCTTAAAGTTTTGTCTTGCGGCATTTTGCAACTCCTTGTTTTTACTATTATTTGCATGGTCATAGTACAAACGCTTTGTTGTGTTTTTTTCGGTGGAAGTATGAGAAGGAAGACTTAGGGCTGTAGCTGTAAGCTACCTTGTGTAGTTGTATTTGATTGGACAGGGAAACAGGAAAGTCAGGGAATTTAGAAAACCACTGTCAGTGCCAACCTTGTTGATGCCATGTAAACCTTAAGCTCATTAGGCTTCGTCCGTAACCTGAAACCGAACATATCAGTAGTGTTGATATCGAATATCATCTTTTATTATCTTGCAGTTGCATAATATAATTCATGAGGTGAGTCCTGGTGTTCTATCAGAGCTTCATCATCTACTCGTCAAGATGCGAGGATGTAAGGGAGAGGATTGCACTCATTACCATGGTAAGAAGTACCCTACAGTACCGCCAACAAGTCCAGCGGTCAACACCCACTTGAGAGAAGGTATGGAAGAGAGTCACATGACTCCTTTACCAACAGCGCCATCAAACCTGCAAACATCTGCTCGAAGTGCAGTGAGCCCTTTGACTTCGGAGTCACCCTCTCTAGTCCTTGTTACGCGTTCGGACGTTACAGCAAGCTCTCCGCAGAGTGTTTGGAACAACGTTTCGAAACCAACCACTATTGAAAAGTTTACAACACTTCCACCAAAAGATGTAAATGTAAATTTGTTAGAACATTCGACCATTCAGTCGATATTGAACTCAGAACGAAAACAACAGCTCATGGAAAGCTTAAAAACCGAACATTCAATTGCTCAAGTTAGTGAAATGGCGCCTTTACCTACAGTTGACTTTAAGACTAAGAGCAAGCCAGACGAAACATCAGACTTGGAGTCCAACTCCTGTTTGAATTGTTCCAGGTCCGACAACCTACCGAAAACCTTCGTGAGAACTTCGGAACTCAACACAAGTTTATCGGGATTGAACGTTTCTTCAGTCCCAACCACACCAGCATCAGCGACTCCAAAAAGCAAAGAGGAAACTAGTGGAATGCATTTCAATATTTCTACACCAAAACCAGCGAAGGGAAAATCGCCCAAGAGACGCAAAAATGGAGATCGAGAGGGGAGAAAAAAAGATAAATATGCTTCAAAAGGCAAACCAAAGAATAAAAGTCTTAAGAAGTCCAGAAAGTTTAAAAAGAAATCTTCAAACGGAGAAAGAACGTCACTGTCAGAAGAAAAGAAAGAGAGCCCAGAGAATCCTACAAAGCAGACAGTTGTCTTAAACACCACGATATGGTCTCCGGAATCTCCTTTAGACAATAACAGCGAAAAGTCTGACCACGAGAAACCATCTCAACCAACTGCAACACCCTCACTTGGCTCCAATCATGTACCCACAGTCTTAATGAAGTCTTCGGGTCCTGACACAAGCTCTTCCAAACTAAATGGTTCTTCAATTGCAGCAACATCAGCCTCTATCACCACATCAAGAGAAAGGATGACTGAGAAAAATGTGCGACAGACAACAGCAGTCAAACCATCGAAGAGAAAGTCCGCAGAGAGAAGGAAGAACAGTAGCTCGATTGATAGGAACAAAAAAAAATCTCTAAAAAAACTAAGAAAGATGAAGAAATTATCGGAGAGAGAAAATTCTCAAACTTCAGAAGAAATTAAGCCGACCATAGAGGCAGGAGAAGTAAACCAAACTGGATTGAAATCAAAATCGACAAACAGAAGACCTGAATCAGAGAACAAAGACAGCAAGAGGGGAAATAAAGCATTGCCGGAAGTTTCACGAAAACGGAGCAAAAAGCCGACAAACAACCGACCGGCGAATCGGAACTTCAAGAAAAAATCTAAAGGAAAACATTCCAAGCAAAGACCGACTCAAATTAGCCAGGAGGGAGGGGTGGTAGAAAATGGCACCGGTTTCTCTTCGAATTCGGAATCTTCGCCCTCTAACCCTAGAAAAGAAAATAACTAATTTTTTTCTCTTCATTGCTGGTTGGCTCAGTTTAGATGTGTAGAAACCACTCCTTAAACTTGTCAAAATTTGAAAATGCTTCGCGATTTACATACCCTCATCAATCGAGGGCTGTAGAGAAGTCATTGTAGAGTCAAAACCTCACATAGCTTTGATAGTTTATGCGTTGTAAAAAATAGTAGCCAGCAAATCAATTGCGGAAAGGTCTGAGGAAAACAAATAAGTCTACTCACTCTCTCCTCCCTTGATACTGGTTTAGGACGCTTATTTCGTAGACTGTTTAAAAGTGGACGTACCAACGTGGATGTTGGTTAGCGAAAACAAATCTACTACAATTGTTTTTGTCGTTAACTTTATTAACTCCCATGAAAATTGTTGATTGTTTTTTTTTTCTGTCGAAGTGTTGTAAATTCTTCTTTTGAAGTGTTTTAATTCAATGTTTTTAGCTACGGCAAACTAAACAGAAGTGAAGATTTCCTCTAACCGATCATTTTGAAATTTCCTTGTTACAAAAAAAATAATAGTTGCAAAAACCTAGCTGTACTACTTATCTCTTTTTACAAAATATTATGAGCTATGAATGTTTAAGATGAGTTGAGTTTATTTGTAAAGCGATTGGGTTGGTTTGCAGTCCGGTTCAGAAAGTCTCCATTTCCGTTTCAGAGTGACACAAGATTGAATGAAACCACAAAATCTTTTATGGTTTTTTTGTTAACTCAGTGGTAGAGAAACTTTTAATTGACGCTTACGCAGAGCTTTTTACAAAGATGTTTCATTTCTTATGCGACATATGAAACTTTATCTTTGATTTGAACTATTAAGTAAAAATGATGTTCTGTTAAATGTCGTTTTCTGGTTATCGTCTCTTAAAGCTTTTTTATTAAGTTATTTCAGAGCATCTTTGTATGGTGATGGTTTTAATAAAGCTTTACGTAATAGTGGTTAATCGATTGAGTATAATTTCCCTCAAACCTTTTAAGCAGAGCATCATGCTGAGTTTACTCACCTTACGAGCATCCTGTCCTTTCGTATTGGCCAGAAATAGTTCAACTGCTTAAGAGACGAGGCGCTGGTCATTCATCATAGAAATTATGACTTGGTACCCAGTCCTACATTCTCAGGCCAAAGTCATTGTAATTCGCGGATCAATTCAATGCTTGAACATTCCCCCTACCAACCTACTGGCATTTTACTGCCCTTGTGCAATTCGAACTTTGCCCGCGTGGGGTGGGGGAGTCGAACGGAACTGTCCAGTCTTACCAGCGGAATACAAGTATTTTATTTTTTACTATGGAAGTTTTTAAAGTTAAAAAGTTCACTTTGCGCCCCTTGGGGGCGGGCGGGAAGGGGGCGGAATTTAAACGAACCAATACTCAAAAGTTCAAATTCCAGAGCTATCAGGAGTCTCTATCAGGAATAGGAGCGAGAAAAATTTGATGGGTTCTTCGTTCCCATAAAATAATCTGATCACAATCTTGGTTCAGAAGCTATCCACAGAACTGTACCCAAGCCTTGGAATTCTAGGGCGTGTTGAGTACTGCTGAACCTGTCTCTTGGGGTACCACAAAGATCTATTTAGAGCCTCTGATATTCATCCTTTACCTTAACGATCTCCCCAGCGTGTAGGTGGAGTGCAGCTTCAGTAAGCTGACGACACAGCCTTGTTTTATCAGCGCCTCGTATGTTCACTATCTATGTTACCTATGTCAGAGAGTTCGGAGCTCAATTTGGTAGTTTACTTATTTGCGTAATTAATTCAAAGGCAATGCTTCGCGGGGCGTCGCAGAGGCTTGCCGAGGATAATTCCAATCACTATGTGTCAAAAAGCGTCATCCTTGATGAACATGCATGAAGAGGGAAATGATGATATTTTAGTATTGCGCTGACATCTGGGTTTGCTACAAGAAGATAAACAGAGGAACATTCGAAGATTCACAGAAGTGCGCCGGAATTTTTTTGTAGTGACCTTACGATGAAAGCTTTTAAGTGTCCAAGTTCCAATGAACAAGTCTTTTAACTTGGGAGGGAAAGTATCGATGGACGGGGTCCTCACTCTAAATAATTGTAGAAGTACAAATTCATTTTCTATACCTCTTACAGTATATTTTCAGAAGGTAGTAACCCGGGCTCCTGTTGATACCACCCTGAATCACACATGCACAGTTTTCTTGCATGAATTTTCGAAATAAAGGAGTCTATTCTTTCACCACACAGAGGTCGACCATTCCACGAGTGTGCTAATGGTAGAAACGGCGAACGGCGAACGGCGAACGGCGAACGGCGAACGGCGAACGGCGAACGGCGAACGGCGAACGGCGAACGGCGAACGGCGAACGGCGAACGGCGAACGGCGAACGGCGAACGGCGAACGGCGAACGGCGAACGGCGAACGGCGAACGGCGAACGGCGAACGGCAAACGTGAAAAATGGCGGGAAAATCATGGTCGCATAGTATTTTTTTTGTGAATGAAAGTGATCCTCGCAGTAATGTGCACTACTTGGGCAGTAATGAAAATAAGGCCTGGAAAAAATTCAGGCCTGTACGGGATTTGAACCCATGACCTCTACGATACCGGTGCAGCGCTCCACCAACTGAGCTAACAAGCCAACTGGGAGCTGGCCATGATGTTGGTTCCAAATAAACCCATAAAGTGATGAATAAACGGTTAAGAATATATGAATATATATACGTATATATATACATATATATATACGTCTTTATCCGTAGTTCAAATATATGACTTTCATATATTCTTAACCGTTTATAGTATTTTTTGCCGTTCACATTCCACTTGGACCCTACGTAAACGTAAATCTAAATCTCTCTGATATGCAAGAGTACTGAATGATAACATTTTCAATGTATCTTGATCTGAAAATCTCAGTTACTCCATTTGTACCACTTATCACCGATCCTTTGTTCCGTCTGCTGTCGGCGAGCATCACCCGATGGTTTCCTCCAATTATTTCCCGCCCGTCCCATTTAACTTTGCGACGTCATTACTGTGGCCAGGTTACCAAGTTTATTTTTTTCGATCAAAATGGAGAGTTTAAACATATAATACACATGTAACTCTGCCATCTTACACCGCCGTAAGTATTATTTTCCCATATCTTCTTCATAGTCACAGACGTAAAAGTCAAATGATTTTTGGACGGAGATCATGCGCTTTTTCGATTCCCGGAATACATTCCTCAACAACACCAACACACAAGAACATACAAAAAGTAGATCTTTAGTTGCTGAAACTATTTCTGTTTTCCAACAATTTTTTTGTAAATATATAAAATAACAAGTGTACATCCATTTCCAAAGTTATTTTTGTCATACAAAACGCAAAAGCATAGCAAATTTTTGGAGAACTTAAAAAAAAACTTTGGACTTTTCTCTAATAATAAAACAAAACAATACAAAAGTATGTAGCGAACTGTAGCTCGTTACTGTGTAAGACTGCTAACAGCGGCTCTCTCGTATTTATAGAGATAATAGTTGTCCCAAAATGACCCTGAAAAAGTCTTGAAAAGATATTTTTGAATCAATCTATTAATTAACAGGCTCTGCAGTCTAATTATGAACCATTCCTTACACCTTGGTAGTCCAAATGGTAATTAGTATTTATAGCAAGAAAAAACTGTCCTATTTTAGTACTTCTTAACAAAGAAAAGATGTTTTGACATCTCTATGAAAGCTCCAGCTAAAAAAAATATTATATATACTTAGCAATCCTATTGCAGGTCATGTAAAATTTGAATTGTAAACTATCGGTGCACTGCCCAGCAGTGAGATTGTGCCATACAGCACAGCCCTCATGCAGCATAATTTTTTAGCTTTCTTATGGCTTTCTATGAAAGACATCAAGTACATCAATTGTTTCTACTATCTTAACACAAAAAAAGGAAAATAATCCAACCAAAATTTCAGTGCTTGATCATACAAGTTGAAGAACCAATTTCCTTTTTCTATTAAATAAATCCAAACAATGGTATCTAAAGCCTGAAACATGAAGTGAAATTTTCAAATACAAAATATACCGGTAATAATATAAACTGGGTCATAAATACAAATATAGTGATGCTCTGTTTATAAAAATATAACCTGTGATGTTTGAACCATTTAAACAGTCAACATCTTCCTGGATTTCTCTCTTACTTGGTATTTGCTCAGAAAATTTTTCACTTTAAACACCTAGCCTGATGTGCCTCATTTCTAGGCAATTAATCTTCAAATAAATGATTTCAGGGCTGGGTGTGCAAATATAACACCATTTTTATCAAACAGTCATAAAGCTACACCAATCAATTTACAACTTCAAAACTGAACAGTTGTGGTTTACACTACATGTACATGCATTACAAGAATTTGTGGCAGGCTTTTCACTTGCAGTGATCATGCAACAGATGTCAACAGTTCTATGATTTAAGTGGAAAAGTCAACCGTGGTCTAGGGAAAATCCCAGCTCACTTGGAGAGTAAGAGTTTTCAGTATGAATGGTGAAAATCTATCTACATGTACAATATATTTTTAAAAGACCAGATTAGAGCTACCACATGATAACAATCCAAGCTATTCCCACATGTAACATTGTAATTATACTTGTTAATCCAGCACCACTATTTTGTGTTTCAGCATTGAAGGTAGAGTTTGGGACTGAAAAGAATTAGCAAAAAAGGGTGAGTGTCTGTAAACAGAAATTTTGAGAATCAACTTCAATAATGATAGCAGCCTGCTTATATAAATTAATGATGAATGAGCCTTTGCATTTTCCCTTCTCTTTCCTGCTTCAAGAACCCAAACTACCCCCATGACTCTCACACTTTGCTGCTACTTTTAGCCCCTGTTACCCAAATATAATAAAGAATGAATTAAGAGAGATTGTCAAACAGATGGTATCCAGTGAAATAAAATAATGTTAATCATCATTTTGAAATGAAAATAATTGTCCCCTCTACAGGAGGCCTGTGTGTATGTTTTCAAGGGTCTTGGATGATTTTCTGATGAGACAGTTTATGCAAATTCAGAGGGGAAAGATGAACTTGGTTTTGAACTCTCTTACATAACAGACTTCTCACTTTGATCTTCAATTGGGCAAAACCAAAGTAAGAAAAAACATTATATAGTGAACATCCCTGAAAGCTAATAAAGTTAAATAATTCAAGGACTTTGATTAAACTATTGGGCCTTGGCCTAAGAGAAGCCAGGGGCACTCTGTTTTGTTGAGGATAGACATTACATGACCCACACTAAACATTTCTATTCACTCATGCCAGGAGTATACAACTAAAAGCAAAATTAATGGGTATCAGGCAATTGTGATGGAAATGACAAAAAAACACAGGGATTGTATGAATTTCTTACAGTGGTTAGGATAGGCTGGGATTGAACAACACACACATGCATCATAATTATAAATCAGCACAACAACTTAAAGAAGAAATTTCTCCTTTTAGCATTTAACAGATCCAAATAAATGTGAAACAAATTCAAACAGAGTGAACACCAACCTTGTGACTGATGAGTTGACCTCATCTTTGCTAAACTAATTCCTGTAAAATGTTGAAAACATTTTTGGTCACAAATAACATTCAAAAGATTAGTTATGATTTGCCAGTTACCTCTTTTTTATTTTTGAATTAGTAAAATATTACCAAAAGGTTTAAATATCTTGTGTTAAATTTCCTTAACCTATATAACCCTACAAACTATATACTTTTGCCATTTTTTTATTTCCTTTGTTTCAAACTAAAACATTAGCATACAAATAAAATTTGGACCACATGAAAAACTAAGCCACAGCATGTACATGTGAAAATATTCTGGACACCAGGTGCAGGTTATTTTATTTCAATTAACCATTTAAACTAAACTGTTGACATGGGATTTTGTTTCATCATGCAGCAGCCCAACAGAGAATAGGTTTGCTAATCACCTCCAAAATAGCCAATCATTGCATGCAAAAACACTATCCACCAGAGCAGAACTAACCAATTATCATTATTTTAAACAAAGAGCAGTCTTGAATCGAAGGATAATGAACCCCGATTACTGTTAACACTTACCAGGTATCGTTGTCACTGTTGTGGGTCTACCAGTATGACTGTCTGTTGCTTTCTTCTTTATATTTATAATCTTGTTCCATTTCTCACTATTCTTAATTCCTTTGTTTTTCTTAACTGAACAGAAAAAGTTGATAAGATCAAAAGATAATGTAGTTGTGATGATCACCATTTACTGTCTTTTGCCAAAGTTTGATGTATACCAGTAACATAAACTTAAATTTTGACAAATAATATATACTGGTAGTCAAAGTACAGCACCTTTGTCAGATAAGGATCTCTTTTTTTGTACAATGTTAATGGCATGTTGCCAGTGATTTACTTTTCTTCTTTATATCAATAATTTTTTACCTTCTGCCACTGCAGGTGTTTGAATTCTCAGAGACACCCGGTGGCTTCTCAATCTTTTCTTATTGTAGCGGGAGATTGCTTGTAATTCAAGCACATACGTCCGATTGGGTTGCAGGTTGCTTATTGTGAACCTGTGGATTGTCCCCCCTAATCTCTCATGTCTGACTGGCAAAGTTATGAATTCTTCCAAATGGACGTCTGGCCTCAGGCTCCACTGCAGTCTGTATCGGTGGATGGGTAGAGCTGTGATGAAGACAACAACAAATAATTACATGTATACAACATTTGTATAAAAGAAATTAAAGTACTTAAACAATTCTCAGTCTACTAGAGACACAAATCTTCTGCCCAGAGAAGAGTCTTACCAATGGTATTAACTGGCTTCTTCCATGAAACATCAACCTGAGCTTGGCCTTTGACAGTGTACATTGACACCACATGGAAATCTCTTGGCGGCTGTAGTCTTTGTGGTTCTGCAAAAACTGGTTTACTTGGGATACTGAAGGCACTTGAACCATATTGTGTCACTGCTACCACTTTATACTGGTGCCAAAACAGTGGCATGGGTTCAACTTCCACTGAAGTATGTGTAGTCTACCATAACAAACAATATAAATTAAATGAGAACAAATAATCCTGACAAATTACTAGTACAGTGTAAGTTGTCATTATCTAATGGTACAACTTGTCGGATAATTTGACATATAATATGGACAGATATTTTGTGATTTATGTTATTCATTTTGCCATGCCTGCAGGTAAATTAGGTTTTTACTTTCTACAGCATTAGTTATCATCTTCCTTCAAAGGATGACTGAGCTAACCAACAAGTTCTCTGCAGCTCAGTGGTAGAGGATCAGAGCCAAAAAAGGCAGGACATTATCTAACAGTCTACATTTCAATTCCACATGGAGAACTTTCCTTCGTTCTTTGTCCAACCCTTGTGAAAAAAATAACATCACTCCTTATCATTATCATCATTACTATCAAAATTGTTTCATCACTACTATTATATCTGCATGTTAAGGCATGGCAGATTACCTGCACAGGACATTGTCACCATGAAGGTTTTGTATACATGCATGCAAGAAGAAGTTATTTTGTCACACGGCCATGTGAAATCAACTCACATCTGCATCATGTTTTCATGCACAAGCAGCTTTGTTGCCACCTTTCTGCCACAGAACTCGATTGGAAAGTTGAAGGCATTGAGGAGAAAATGTTTTGGATAATTCAACAATTGCCTCATAGGAAATGTATTTTAAAGAGCAATTGTATCAAATAACTTATCACTGTGCAAGAGTAGTCACTTTTGATATGTGCCTTATTGTTTTTGTTTTCATCCTTATCACTGACAGTATATCTATATTAACAGTCAATTATCAACTTTCTCAATTGAAATAAACTAAATACCTGTATTGATTCTTCCCAGTCCTGCCAAGCATCCTTGTCTGACTGTTTTCCTTTTATCTGCTTTCTTGTTGAGACAATGAAAACTGTTGCAGTTGGCCATGATCCATTCCACTTGATAGAAAATTTCTGCAAATGATCATTTATAGAGACCTCCACATTTTCAGGTTGCATCAACACACCTGTAGTTAGAAAGAATGTTGCAGCTTATAAAACTGTAGAATCAATGTCAGTCATTGGAAAATCACTCCACAGCCTTGTTTGCATTAAGTCTTGGTTGAGCCATTTCCTTACATTATTGTTATTTTTGTATATCTCAGTGATTTTGGAGTCCATTCTTCTCTCAATATTTGTTTTCAATATGTGGCTGGAGGGAGATACAGAGCTAATCTAATAAAGATAATAATCACACTTCATAGGAATATATAAGGTTTTGAACTGTGGATGGTGAGCAAGTGAAGATATTGTCAGAACTACTTATGGGGGTAAAAAAACCAGCTAAAATTTCCTAGTGAGGAAGGTCTATTGGGCAGGTAAAATCTCGTCTGCAATAACAGTTAGCTCTGTTGCAAAGTAAACACACAAAGTTCACCAAACTGTAAAACATACATTGACTTTTTGTTGATCCCAATGGGCAGGAAGAGTTACCACCTGCTGGACAAAAATGCTAGTCACTTATAGTCATTTGTCATAATTAACTATTGAATCAAGGGAAAATCATACTTGACAATTTCATAATAGACTGATGACCTTAAGATTTTTACTGACAAACATTTAGCCTTGACACAATCACTGATATAATAATTATACATTAGACTTACTATGAAAAATCTGAGAAGTAGAGAGCATTCAATCATTAAACAATAACACATGAAGACATTTCTGCAACATATATTGCATTGATCATGTCAAGTTCAAAGTCTGCCTAGTTTTCAAGCCCCTTATCTGTGTAGTATTCTCAAACTTTTACAAACTCAGAGGTGTCTTCTTTTGTAGATAATTTGTTTATGAAAGGTACAATAGAACAGTTGTTGATCCAGTTTTTGAGTGAAGTCATCCCATAATTGCTCATTATTGAAGACGCAGATCAGTTATAAAAGCGCTTTCTTATTACACCTCAGTGAACCTTGTCCTATATTAAGTCAAGTCCTTAGAAAAGCTACTTTTCAAAGACCCATTTAAAAGTTTAATGGGGATGACAGCTAGCATGCACTCTGCTAGAGAGTCATCCCAATTGCCTGACTTCAGCTAAGAGATAAAAGCATCTACATCTAAGTGTTTTGGATGTTGATCTTACCCTCAGTGCGCATCAATTTTAAAAATCCACAAGACTCAGTGCATGCATTTCTATCCTTCACTGGTGTCACAGGTGACCCCTAAAACACAAATATAGCAACAAAGATCAGATACTTGACATAAATAATAAACATAATGGAGCCAAAGTATGAGCTAAATAGTGACAGATTCCCTTTATTTCATTTGTTATCATTCACCAAAATGTATTTATATGAAATAAATTTAAAAATGTTCTGTATTTATCCATGAAGTAATTTAAATATACTGTTACATCAGTCAGATTGTTTTGAAGAATTATTCTCCAACTAACAATACCCTTGCGAACTGAATTCCCAGTTTTCTGGGAATTCCTAGGAATTCCTAGGAATTCCTAGGAATTCTCAAAAATTCCCAATTATGCAAATGATCCTTGCAAACTGAATTCCCAGTTTTCTGGGAATTTCTGGGAATTCCTAGGAATTCCTAGGAATTCCTAGGAATTCTCAAAAATTCCCAACTATGCAAATTAGCTCTGATTTAAAAAGCTTGGAATTACTGGGAATTTCTGGGAAAGGAAGACTCCAGTTTTGTGAGGACTTGAAATCCCTAGGAATTCCTAGGAATTCTCAGCTTTACAAACTACCTATAATTTAAGAAGTGTGGAACTCTTGGGAATTTCTGGGAATTGAATTTGAGGCAATTTTAATACCCTGAGGTCCACATAAATTCTAAGAAATACCTTGAATGTGAAGGTTTTAAGAAAAAGAGTAATTTCAGAGGCTTAAAACTTTGGCTCAATAAAAGGTATGCTATACAAAACTTACCAAGAGATATACATACATGTACATGTTTATAACTTAAAGATCATGAAATTTATTACTCAAACTAAGTTTTAGTAAATCTTTACATTAATATGGATTTTCTCATGAACCAGCTGTCAGTTATGTTAACTAGAAATTGCCAACTTCCACAATAATTAACAATAATTACATTGTTATCTTACTTCCCTAACCTACATTACTGGTTGCCTTTGTTAGAAAACCTTGGAACAGTCAAGCTTAGTTGCCTCCAACGCTGTCAGAGACTTTTTGTTGACAATACTTTTAGTAGAAATTTCATGCCTTAGACAAACAAATTCAACACCTAATTAATCTTTCTTTTTTCATGATTGTTGTTGCTGCTTTTTTTTTCAGTTTTTTGCTCTATTTTCATGACTAATTGCTGTAATTTGTTTTGCTGTTTTTATTCTTACAAAACATTTTTGTAAGAGTTCCAATACTTGTGGATCATCCACACACTTTGCAAACATTTGGCATGCAGACAAGACAGAGGTAGTCAATGTTCCCTTTGAGGAAAAACACCTTTTATATGACGTCTTCAATTTACTTTATTTGAAACTCTGATCTGAAAATATTTGTCAACAAGACTTGTTAGTAGTGAGAAATACCAACTAAGTTTCCTTTCATAACTTAATTTCTTAAATGTCCCAATCGCTGGATCTCCCAAAAAACATTACATCTTTTTATTTTTGGTGCAAATTACAAGTCCTTCTTTATATAAAAATGAAAAGTGCTAGTCACACTTCAATAATAACAGCTCTTAAGTTTACTTGTTGTTCTTCTCTGTCTGTCAGCTATCAACAAAATTGTTTTATACTTCGGGCAGTGCATAACTATTTGTGGACCAGAGTTCCAACGCACCTCTGTAATCGCATATAGCTACTTCTGTCTCTTGTACAAATGTTTCTCCTTTGTAAGACGCACTCTACTCTGTTGTCAATACTGCTTTAAGTTCAGTGGAAACGACTGACTGAGGAGAATCGAGATGGCGGTGTTGGAACGTGTTGCTGAACGCTTTCTACGGTCAAGCTTTGTAGATTTAGGTACTGGTACACTGGGATCATCTATGTATCTCTTATACTTCCGAATGTGGTATCCTTCTTTTATAAATATGAGGGTAAAAGACGATTTGTAGTCGCATTCAAAACTGTGATTGGCTTGTGTTATTTCTCACCTTTGCCACTAACACAACTCAAGTGAGTTTCGAGTCTTTGTTTCTTCGACAACTTTCGGCCACAAATTGAGCATTTGTAATACGATCGATTCTTGTCGATTATTTCTACATAGAGTGAGCTCACATCTTTATTTATATCACCAAGCTATCCATCTTCTAGAAGCAGAGAACCGGTCGGAGAAGTCAGAATAAAGTTGGGCACTTCTCCTAACACTGCAATCGGCAAGCCAGCGGATTCTCTCTGCTAGCCAATGACAAGTCCTAGAAGATCCACGTGATCATGCCCGTGATCGGAAACAAAGAAGACTCCATTTGGCGCTCATCTTTGAATGTACTTTTCATAGGTTGATCGCTTTTCTCAACTGTTTTGCTTAATATAACATTTCTAAAGATAGCTTTTATTGTGGTTCAATGGGAAAACGAGAATAGCGTGAGTGTTGTAAAAGAAAAGAAAGTCGTTGGCGCCGTGGAGTTAAAAGAAGGGACAACAGTTGACATATTGACTGGTACAAACAAGGGTCGAATGGCCGTCTGTAAAGCTACGATTTTGAAAGTTTGAGGTGAGTAAAAATTGCGATATTCGTTACGTGATCAAAATCTTATAAAAGAATAGATGTAGCGGGTTGAATTAAGCTTACATAACGCTCGGCGCAACTGAAACTAGAATAATTCTGAGAATCGAATCGGTCACTTGCATGCCGCAGTTTCTTAAGCTTATTATGCTTTACAATGAAATAAACCTATCAGTAAGGTTTCAAGATTCCTCTAGTCACGTTTGGGAACATTCAAGATTCAAAATAGGAACTGTTATTAAACAAACCTTAGTACATAAAGAAGCCCTCCTTGGTAAAAACAAAATAATGTATTCAGCCCTTTTTTAGTAAAATCCATGAGAGAGATGTACTAACTCCAATATGAAAGTCACTCAATATAACAAAGATTTCTAAATTTGAGAATCCAATGAATGCCCTTTTCCTCATAGCCATCTTAAAAGCCTGGTCTGAGCTTTAAACATACATATTTTAATATATTTTTTTTTTTTCAAATTCAGATGTCAAGGAATCCAGATACAAAATGGTCAAGGTTCTTGTTGACAACCTCATTCAAGGCCAACTCATTGTGAGCCCAGGAAAAAAAATACAAACAGTACAAACAGCAGCTAAGTTTGCAGTTTAGGATAACTTCATTCTAATTTATTGTTACGGTTACAACAAGATTTTAATCAAAAAATCAATTTTATTTGACTGTAATTAGCCCCTTCACTCCCAAGAGTGCTTGGTTTTCAAATATAACTTAAGATATTGTATTTTATGGAAAAGAATCAACAGATTTTATTCACAATTTGTGTCAAACCAAATTTAATGATTGATTAGAACTATTTTATATGAAAAGCTGTAATAATTACAATTATTGAGGATTAATCCGTATGAAGTTTTCAAGAAAAGAAAAATAAATCAAATTCCATCCTAATATTACCACACATTGATGTTAATAATTAATCAAAAACAGTTTACATGTAAGCCTTAAATTAAGCTTCTAAATAAATTTCATTGAATACTTGAATTTTAGCTGGGTTTTTTTAATTTAAAGTATTTATTTTATATCATTAGCCTCAAATTTTTGCTTAAAATTCCCAGTAATTCTGAAACATTCCTAAAAATTCCCAAAAATTCCCAGAAATTCCCAGAGATTCCTAGGAATTTTTTAGATATACAGCTTTTCAGGGAAAGTCATTGGTTCTCTGAGTTGGAATTCCTAGGAATTCCTAGGAATTCCTAGGAATTCCAAGTCCTGTTGGCTATAAACTTGGAATTTCTGGGAATTTTTGGGAATTTCTGGGAATTTCTGGGAATTTCTGGGAATTTCTGGGAATTTCTGGGAATTTCTAGGTTTTTAGAACCAGAGTTGTTATGGTTGGGAATTCCTAGGAATTCCTAGGAATTCCCAGTCCGAATTTACCGTGAAAATTCACACCTTTATTCCTAGGAATTCCTAGGAATTCCTAGGAATTCCTAGGAATAAATTCCTAGGAATTCCTAGGAATAAATTCCTAGGAATTCCTAGGAAAATCCTAGGAATTCCTAGGAATTCCAAAAGCCATTTCGCAAGGGTAGTTTTTCTCAGGACTAAACCTTTCTAGGGCAGTCACACTTCATACCCTGATCTACAATTCCAAGTATACTGACTATTCAAACTATTGCAATACTTTAACTTCCCGTGAATGGATTCTAAACATATCTTGCTTCATCATCCATTCAGTTACAAAATTAGCATTGCAAAACAAGTGAACAAGTGAACAAGTAAAAGAGTTTACTACTTACACATATGGATGCACATGAAAGCTTTTCTTTCTTTCTTTGTTCACATGGTTTCATACACTAACAGAAAAAAATGACAAAATTATTTCATCAATTTAAATGGAAAGGTGTAATATTTATACATGAAAAGTGTACAGCCATCTTGAAATAAGTTTGTCACTTGAGAACAGTCCTGCACAGTGAATCAACCAAATTCTATGTTAAAAAATTATAGCATGCTCATACATCTCAAACAATGCACAAAGTTGAAATTTTGTCCATAAATTTGTACTTAAATGTTCATTTATTGTTCATTCAATGTTTCTTCAAAGTATATTATCTTACTAGATCAAAAAATTGGCTAGAATGATACTCCTATCATAACATTAAACATGAAAATAATTTTTTTGTTCTGATTGGCTGAGAGAAATTAAGGTTCAGTGCAGAAAAGGGTAGTTCAGTGTAAAATAAGGGCAATAGTCCTCCTACAGCACCAGCTACCAGCTACGACTGCCTCTGGAAAGCTGGTTAACTAACTTAGAACAGTCTCTCCTCAACAGGTGTCAACCAATACCAGCACCATACAAACGACTCACTCAGGGCATTAACATTGCAAACGAACCAAACAAAATGACCTAACTTTACCAACAGATCAACACCAACCAATCACAACTGACCTACGCCACTTGAGTCTTACAGCCAATAAAATCACAGCAAAACTGACCAATCAGTCAATACAAACCAGCTTACAACATGGGACTGACAACAACTACTCACTTGACTCTTGATGATGACTTCCACTCAGCTGGTTCTCGAAATGTCAGTCACCACAACCAAAAACAGTCCTTCTCAGGACTACACTCAACCAAACAATTAAACTGCACCATTACATTTTTGGGTAATTTCAAAAAAAATTAATCACTTGTAATTTCTTCAAATTGCACTCCAAATCATATGTTTACCTGTACTAAGTGATAAAAAATAATGTGCATTATAAGTAACTTACTGCTGAACAGCCCTCTGTAACACATTCAGAGATCCATGTGACCTTAACAGAGACAAAATAAGTTACTCATTAGAAACTGTGTGTTGTCCAAATTTTAAAGAAGTGTATTAGACAAAGGGTGGGGCATGCAATGGTGGGGTGTACTTCTCTTAAAGTGCAGCAACACAGACTGCCATACACACTGCATCCACAGCACAAGCTATTTCATACTATCATCTTAAAATAATTAGAAAATGTTGCTGAGTAAGAAGAGAATTAGAGCGGTTGAGTATTTGGGTTCTATGTTCCTACTGTAATTCACGCGAGTAAGCGTGGTACTTAGCAGATATCGAGCCACAGGAAACACAATTTAAGGAGGCAATTGATGAATACTTATCCATTGACAAACCATTCAAACAAAACATGATGTAACCGTATCCGTGAATCACCACCCGCGAGAAAAAAGGGTAACGAAATTTAAAAATTCTAAGGTATCACTTAGCTTTTCTTTGTCGATCAATCGCATTACAATATCACACCTAGCCGATAATTCGCTAAAAGCCGATGGTCTGTTAAAGCGATTTTAGGGAGGATTATTTCGTCAAAGTTGCACTCCCGTGCTATATCTGTTTTCCTTATGCTCCCCAATCAAAATAGAGAATAGATATCAACTACTTTACAGATCAAAAGGGGTTTGAAATTATCATCCAAAACTATTTGATTTTTCATTACAATGATGAAACAATATGATAAACATGAATGCCATGGCTAAATTTAGCTACCATTCCTTATCACATTTGTGTTATACAACACTTCTTCAATTTTCAAAAAAAATACAAATTAAAGATGAATTCCAGCTTAACTTTATAAGAAAATATTTCAGCAGAAGAAAAGATGAAAATTAAAACATAAGGGAGTAGACGAGAAATCAACATTTGCATAATAATGATCCATGGATGAACTTTGGTTTTTCGATCGTATGTCGCCATATGCACGAGAGATATTAATAATCTTTAATCCAAAATCCATTATTACTTACTAATTGTGCCCATTAAACGGTGAGAAAAGACGAGAAGGGCTTAAATCTTTAGCTGCGTTAAAATAGAATGCAAGCGCTTAACTTTAAATGCAAATTTTGGAGTTGATGTACAAACAAACACTGCTATTCATGTCCTGCATAAGTTCAAACGCTTTAGACGCTACAAAATAACCTTATTCGGAGTCGATACCTTTTTTCATTCTACGGTCTTCTTGAATTGTTCTCTTTAAAGTTACTCTCCCCATTGAAAAATTATGGGTTTGTTTTAATTTTTAGACAAATTTGCTTACATCTACACACGTTCCTAAACATGTCAACGATTCTCCGGTAAAAGTTTGCAACTTTTCACTTGAGTACACGGTTTTTTTGGTACGACATGTTTTTCCTTAACTGCATCTTAGAACACTTAGAGAAACAATCCCTTAAATTAGTGCATGAAGAAAGCCATAAGCTGCAAGTAAAACAAGTATACTTACATTGAGATGTGTTTCGATCTCCTGCTGAATACATTTCCACGCAGTTACGGTGACGCGCGAAAGACCACGGAAGAAAAAAAACAATATGAGTATAAGAAATCAGGCGCTTCCTGAAATTATAGGAAGTTCAAAACAAAACTTTGTCACCTGCAACATTAATGACCTAAGTACTCTCGTTACAAGATCGCAACCTGTCAAAGATTTCACCGACAGGTTCATAACACACTTGGGAAAATTCGCGGATCGCTGAGTACAAACCTTTGCAAGGCAGCGACTTCTGCATCGCGCCGACAGCACAGAAGCGAAACTTTTCTTGTGTTGTAAATGCAAAATGAAGAATCCAACAAGTATAATAGCGTAATGATTCATAGAAGTTAGAGGAAAAGTGAACTTAAAAGAAGAAATGAGGTGCTGAACATTCCAGTTTGAAAGGGTGAGAACGATTAGCAGCAAATTAGCATAACAGAAACCCGGATTAATGCGAGTATAACACGTGCTACTTCGAGAAAGTGAACTCAGAGGGTGTAACTGAACGGTAAACTTAAAGAGAATCAAAAATTCGATCAAGTGTACTATTCTTCACGATCCAGATTAGAAAGATATCTGACCGACTGATTTGTGAACCAAACGGTACAAAGCGCGTGTATTTTTTTAATTTTTTTTTTTTTTTACATACAGAAGAAAGGAGCTGTTAAAGAAAAAATGTTGTGGGCAATACCGAGCTTCGTTGCGCAATTACGTAGATGGAGTAGCAAGAGAGATAGCCTCACATTTCGCAGTCCTGTACACAAATCCTACCTAGATTTACTCGTTCTGATGAGCAAACCAGTGTCCCCTTTAGAATTTTGTGGCTTCTTCAAACTATTAATTCAATCAATTATCCATTCGGGATATTTGAAGTGTTACAAGTTGCTCTCCGTTTTAAAAGCAATTAATGGAAGTAGATCATATGTGAAAGTCTCTCAACTTCAGTGAAAGCGATTTCGTGAACAAACATTACTTTGTCTAATTTCATACTCTGCAATATGTAAATAAATGTTAGTTTTCAGGAGATGGCACCATTGTTCTTGAATTTTATCACACCGTGAAAGAACACAACGCAATATTTTACGGGCACGTTCCAGCGAGATTTCAACAGGACAAAGATTACATTTGAGGTTACTCTACTTATAGTGCTGTTTCGTTTCTTTACCCCTATGGTAGCTTGTTGACCATTCTTACTTCTTCGACAATTCTCTCAACAGTGAAAAGATGCTCAAATAATCAAATCCCAAAACAAATCCGCGATTTCTTAGGAAACCAGATCACGATCAGGACTCTTGTCGGAAGGACCGGCGTGCGGTCTGATATTCATCTTCTTCGGTGTTGTCATATTTAGAAATAAGGTTCTATATCGGGCACAACGCAAAATGTCGATTTTAGATAAAAAGCTGACATTGCCCGCAGATATTGCAAAGGGACATCACCTATTTGTTCCATCCGAATTCTCGTCTCCCTATTTTCAATTTCCTCTGGGCAATCTTATAGTACATGATAAGAAAAAGGTTTTGAACAATCCGAGCGAGCTCTGTTTACAGATGCTTTGAGAGAGAAAAGAAAATGTATCACTCTTAATCCATTGGAGAACCCTTAAGTTATCCGGTCAATAGAGGATGTCACGTGATCTATCAATTCAGGTAGTTGGGTGCTACCTGGTCCTAACTGTCAATAGGAGTCTAAAAGCCGTAGAAGTCACGAGTATAAATCGAATTTCTGTCCGGCATTTTCATAAAAAAAAGTAATCTCAGGAGTTATGCAGGCGGTCGATGCAATAACTTTGTTCAGACTAACTTATAACACTTGACTACTGCCTTTAATTTACCTGTATTTTTAACAGATAGAACTGATAAAATTAAACCTCTGGAGAGGCTATATCTTTCTCTTTGATGTTGTTAGGGTAACGTTTAATTGAAAATATGATTTTGGTAGCCATGGATAGATTGTGTTGATAAACAAACACAAAGTAATATAGAACGCAAACCATGGTAACAGAATTCCTCAGTCTTAACAATGGCTGTGAAGCTAGGCGAGGGAGGTGCTCAAAACTTACTACATTCTACATCATTCTATGAGCAATATTCTGCCCGGAAATGATACTCGCCTGGTGCCGAACTTTTGATAAGGTGCACGTACGCTTCATCATAAATTAACTATAAGACTGAAAAGACAATAATCAATATGTTCACAGATTTCCTTACGAAACTCAACTAGGGTCGTGAAGGGCTGAAATGAGCATCAATCTGTTGGTCGCTGAGCCGGCTCAGAGTCAGCTCTCTAACAGCCACAACTTACGCTCATATCTTTTTCTTTCCCTTAAAACAAGTAGCTTGCTAAGCTGTTCGTCTGATAATTAATTTATCTATCTATTTGTTACATTCACTCATTTATTTACTTAGTGTGTTGTTTGGTTGAAGTAGTCGTTATACCTTAAATTCTCTTTTCTCAATCGAGATGCAGTTAATAACAAACAAAACGATATTACAAGACGTAGAAGTCTACAGTGACAGTGAGTGTTGTACACACTTGATGATCGTTTTTCAATTGCAGCGCATATAATCAACCAGGAGAACAAACGTGTTCCTGGAAGGCTATGTAGAATAAAGCAACGAGAGAGAACAAAAAAAAACAATCCTACACAAAAGTATAACATGTTTAGAATATTTGCACCTGCCGATCGTATTTTGGGGATAGAAAGGGAAATCTCTAGTCAGCAATTAGTAGTGATAAATGAAAACGTGCAACAGGAAATAGATTCTTGACAAACACGAACTGAAGTGTGAATGCCAAATGCACCTGTAAAATCAAGTCATACAAAACTGAACCCACTAGAACATGGAAAGTCAAGATTAAATGAATGTGAATATTTGAAAATCATATATGTGAACTGTGGAGAAAGAAGTGAATATGAAAGCAATCTTCGCAGCAATGAACACTACTTGAGCAGTTGTGAAAATAAGGCCTGAAAAAAAATTCAGGCCTGTACGGAATTTGAACCCATGACCTCTGCGATACCAGTGCAATGCTCTACTAACTGAGCTAACAAGCCAACTGGGAGCTGGTCATTATGTTGGTTTCAAATAGAGGTGATAAGTAAGTGACTGTGAATATATAACAATATTTTTAGGCCTTGTTTTCACTACTGCTCAAGTGGTGTTCATTGCAAGATCGCTTTCATATTTAACGTCAAGATTGTTAACACATCCATAGAACAACGTCCAGTTCAGCATCCAGTTGGAATTTTATTATAAAGCAAAGTGTTAAAAAGCGTTTTTACAACACCGTTAAAATGTTCATCTCTCACTGAACAGAAATAGCCAACGACAAATCTACCTATTCCCCTGTTTCGAGTTCGACGCGGCATTGCTTTATGAGACAATCATGTGACGGAATGTAAGTTTGAAATTTCAAGAGGCTATTAAAAACACTGCTATTTTTCTAGCAACTACGATAAAACTTACTCAGCTTCTAACATAGCCTTATGCCACATCACACTAAACATAAGCTTATGGTGTGCAAAAAACATAAAGAGCATCAAACTCAGAACGCTTACAGTAATTCGCGCTAGAATTTATTTTTTTTTAAGAAGCTTCTTCGTTTCCGAACATTGTGGTAGTTTTCCAGAATGTACTGTTGTTCACACGTGTATATATTTACTTCAGTAGTTTTACAGCAACACGACTGACCACCATGCTAAGATCAATTCTGATTGGGAATTAACCTCCAAATGAGCGCACAACAGTCCTTCGATGTCTCCCATTCCCTGCTATTATCTAGTCTGACTAATTTGGATTCGTGATTGACAAAGTATTCTTTCGTAAAGCCCCCTACATGTAAGTCTCTCTTTGTGCGGTGTATTCAAGCTGAGGGGTTCTGTGCGTCCTAATGTTCTTCGGTTTAATTTTGAAAGGCTTGTCAGGTTGTGAAGATCTCGTTATGGAGTCTTGCCTGTAAACAAATTTTCCTTTATTTGTTGGCACCGGCTGACGAAGAAGCTGAGTGTTCTGTTGAAGAAGCGGAAACTTGTTAATATACATTTTGTTAAGCGGAGTACGGCTGATCATATTAAAGTGAACCAGTAGGCGGATGACAAAAATGCTTAGCATCAGGTGCGCGGTAGAATGTGAAGAGTTTCAATTTTTAACAATAGTCCACACTTTCTATCGGTCTACTGGCGTAATAACATACGCAGGATGTTGGGAGAACACGAGAAAAATCACGAGCTGGAAACCGATAGAAAGCGCGGTTCATTGTTTTATAACTGAGAAAATAACAATGGGTTCAGTGACTGTAAATATATGAAGATCATATCTGTGCACTGCGGTAGAAGAAACGAAAATAAGCGATCCTCGCAGTTATGAACACTACTGAACTAGTAGTTGAAATAAGGCCTGAAAAAAATTTTCAGACCCGTACGGGATTTGAACTCATGACCTCTGCGATACCGGTGCAGCGCTCTACAAACTACTAGTTCAATAGTGTTCATAACTGCGAGGATCGCTTATATTCATGTATTCTACCACAGCGCACATACATGATTTTCATATATTTACAGGCATTATTCACCACTTGAAAGGTTTAAATGAATCCAACATATTGAATAACTCCCACTTGGCTTGTTAGCTCAGTTGGTAGAGCGCTGCACCGGTATCGCACAGGTCATGAGTTCGAATCCCGTACGGGCCTGAATTTTTTTTTTCCTTAGGCCTTGTTTCAACTACTAGTTCAGTAGTGCTCATAACTGCGAGTACCGCTTACATTCGTTTCTTCTACCGCAGCACACTTTTATGATTTTCATACATTTACAATTAGTATTCACCACTAGGTAGGTTAATTTGGATCCAACTAAATGAACAGCGCTCAGTTGTCCTATTAGCTCAGTTGGTAGAGCGCTGCACCGGTATCGCAAAGGTCATGGGTTCAAATCCCATACTGAATTTCTTTTTTCAGGTCTTATTTCAACTACTAGTTAAGCGAGGATCGCTTATATTAGTAACTATGGGTTTGCCGGTGCAATAAAAGAGAGGTTCTTGGCCAATCAGGGCGCTCGAAGTATTTCGATTATTTTGCGATATGTGATAGAAGCAACGCCATACCCAGGTTATATTTTCTCAAAGCTGGTCCTGCGCTTCGTGTTATGACCCAGAAAACAAGTTTCGTTTTCATTTAGGATGGATGGCAGTTTGCCCCTCGTATATTGACCAAAGCTTCAAGATTGTTAGAGAAAATAGTGCTGACATGATAGGGTTTCTATCACACTGACTGACAAACTTTGGTACACAGCACCATTTGAATCTGAATCACTGCTGTACACCGCAAGACGACATTTCCATGACTGGAGAAACCTCACCGAGTGTTAAAAATCAGTTATAGTTCGAAAGTAATTTTTTGATCACGCGCATTTCT